CATTTTAAGAAGTGAGAGTTAACAAAATTTGTACAACTTGCCATGAAGGAAGAAGTGTGTTATACTAGTTGAACTTATATCCATCCACTTTTGTTAAGTTTTAGATTTAGATTTTATTTGAGAAACCTTGTAAATATATCTTATGTCATTTCAACTTTATAATCCTGTTATATTTTTCAGTAAAGTTTGGTGCCGCTCCATTGATTTTTGCTTAAATTACAGACTTTGAGAATTTTGTGAAACAGTTAGACTTTCATTCCCAAATATCCACTCCTCAAAATGGGTTCAAGCTTTATTTGCAAGTACATATAGGGCCATTTGTGGCATTCTGACACATCTAGTTTCAAAAGATTTAATTTTAAATCTTAAAAATTGAAATAAAATCACTTGAATATACAAGTTAGTACTATGATTAAAATTTAATGACTTTTTTCATTGAAATTTGTTTGTTGGTTTTTTTTTCGTTATAATTTTATTAACTGAGAAATCCCTTGTCAGAACCGTCCAGAGTTAATCATTTTTTTTTTGTTCATTATTGTTATGTAAAGATTATATGAGGTCATAAGAAATCTATTGTGTTAATTTTCGTAACCATTATGATCATATCATTAAGGCAATAATAATAAGAATGATAATAATAGTAGTTCTTTTATGTGGTGCTAAATTTATATTATATATTGGTTTAAAAAAAAAAAAGAATTTAATGTATGAATGCAAGCAAGTAGTGTTTTTTCATATAGGTGTATGAGAAAGTTCAGGAGTATTTGCTATTGCCAAATGTATGTTTTGAAGGGGTTTTGTTTAATGTTTGTAAACTTATTAAATGTATATATTATCATATGTATTAGTGCATTCAATCGTAACTTATTATGTATATAATGTTATTAGTTATTTGAAAATGTTCAATTAAAGTTTGATCATTCACTATTTTTTTTAATGAAATCACTTCAAGTATAGCTCTGTTTAGCTGGGTTCCTTTTAGAATTATATGTGTATATTATCATATAACTGAAAAGGAGGTACAATTGAAAGTGGACCACTTATTACCTTATATTTGCCCTCAGGAGTTGGATTAACCCACAACTTAACCTTGAAAAGTACTTGTTTCCAAGTGGGGAAAAACCTTGTTGAGTGACCTGTTTTCATGGCCTTAGATCTTAAGATACTAGTAAAGTGGTATGATCTCTAATTTTACTGATTGTGGCATTTTGACTGAGTGTTAATTCACAAGCTAGGTGATGCATGCACAGCAGGAGACGCACACCTTGTCAACACACCCAATTCCACTCCATTTGGAGTGTGTGCTTCTCCCAGTTATTGTTAGTGATCTTGAGTTTTCTCTTCCTATTCAGTGTACTTTTGGAGTTCATGCTTCTCCCAGTTATTGTTGGTTACCATGATTTTTCTCGTCCTATTCAATGTACTTTTGGAATTGGTGCTTCTCTCAGTTATTGTTGGTTACCGTGATTTTCCTCTTCCTTTTCAGTGTACTTTTGGAGTTCGTGTTTCTCCCAGTTATTGTTGGTTACCGTGATTTTTCTCGTCCTATTCAATGTACTTTTGGAGTTCGTGCTTCTCCCAGTTATTGTTGGTTACCTAGATTTTTCTCTTCCTATTCAGTGTACTTTTGGAGTTCGTGCTTCTCCCAGTTATTGTTAGTTACCTAGATTTTTCTCTTCCTATTGAATGTACTAGTTTGGAACATCAGTATACTACTGCTGCCTTAATTTAACCCAAAACTTTTCTTAGGAAAAATCCCAGAATTGAATCTGCTTTCAAACTTGTCAAAGGGCATGTCAAGGGGTTTCAATAAAATCTTACCAAACACATGCTGTCAAAAAAGGTCAAACATATTTTCCTGAAAGTATATCAGATTTGCTGCTTTGAAGACCTTTCCTCAATTGAGTACAGACAAATCTGAGATATATTGTTTGGATTTCATAATAGAAAAGAAAGGATATTGGGTATCCTTCCATGACACAAAATCAGTACATGCACAGCAAAAATAACAAAAAAGCAAAGAAAGAACAATTTTATTGCTGTTCTTGGTCTTGAAGTTATAGTGAGGCCTTTCTTTTACACGGTAAAAAAACTCTAACCTCACTGCAAGTGTAAGATGGTCATTAGCACAGGTTTTAGCAGAATTCTAAGTCATGTTGGTTTCTGTAGGATGTAGGTGTACCATTCATTGATAGGTGAATTATCCCAGAATTCTTTGTTTAAAGTTCTTCCATTAAGTGTGAGCCATTTAGTTATACAATTTGTTTTTAATATGGAAGAATTAGATTTTCCCCTGGCTGTTGACAAATAGCTCAGGCTGAGTCTTTCCTTAAACTCTAAATGTAATGAGATGTTTTGGGTGTTCTGTGCTATCACGTATTGAATTAATGGAAAGCGCAATCAAAATATATATTTTTACAAATACGACAAATGTTTTTCTTTTCTCCAAAAATATATAGAGAGATATAAAATAGAAAACTTCAGACATAAAAGTTGTATTCCTTAAAAAATTCAAACTAAAGCTTTAAATCTTCAAGTTGTCCATGCTATATATAAAGCATTGGTGTAAATTGATGAGATCATCAACCATTGAAGCATGTTCAGGTTGAACTAGAATCTGTATATTGTATATACTGTGGCTTTGCTCTATATATATACTGATTAGGTAAGATATCAATTTCTCATTTGTTCACTTGTTTTAAAAAATTGTGTGTTTTGGGGTTTTTTTTTTTTTTGTTAAAGTTAAAATTATTTTACATGCGTTATTTTCTTTACATTTTTGTTTAGTTGAAGGTTGTATTTTTATCAGTTTATTTGTGTATTTTCATTGCATTTTGTGGAGTAGCAAAACAGTTTAAAAGGAAATCAAAGGTGTATACAGATGCTCTGAATCTCTAAACTTATCTGATTATTCCTATCATTTTTTTTTTTCACTTTTGGGACCTATAAAATATTTGGCATTATTTATCTCTGTCAATTATGATAAAAGATGGATGAAATGTGATAGTCCTAGCCTTCAAGAAAAATATTTAGTCTTGTAAAATATTTAAAATATACAAACTTTGAGAGGTTTGAATTTGAACAAGTAATCCTAACCTATGACCTTGTTTGACCTTTGAATTGAATGAAAGAATTTCTTGTGTTTACACTTGAGATAAGAGTTTAAAAGTGAATTGTATTATAATAGATACAATAATACTGGTAGTAAATATTTTAAATAGATTATTGATCATTGGGTTTAAGACTTGTAACCATCAGCCTGTAATGTAATCATATATAATGTCAATAGGTAGAAACCAGTGATATTTTATGAAATGAGACCAAAAGCTGGTAAGAAATGGCCATAATTCTTTTTTCATATTTTAAAGTTTAAAAGTAAATTAAAAAAAGCATCCAATTACTGGAGTAAGATTTTATTGGAAGTTTGTTGCCAGATCAATGGTCTATTCTATTGGACCCATTAATTTTTCAATGTTGGGAGACTCAGTTTTAATTCAGAGATGAGATAAACATATAAAATTGTCATCTATGCTTATATTATAGTTTGGCATTTAGATTTTTGTGATTTGTGAATTAGATATGACACTAGATGTTGATAACACCAAAGCTTGCAGATTTAAATATATGTATAAAGGAAAAAATTATCCTAAATAAAAGGACTTTGGTAATCTGTTAATACCAGAGATATTTTAAGTGTGATAGTTACTTCAATCATGTTTTGACTGAGGTAGTGAGGTGTTGATTTCTGATATTTAGGGACTTTATTCAATTTATTCACAACTCTGTTAAGACTGCACAATTAAAGAGCTTGCTGTATCCTAGTTTGACAAGGCCTGTTAATGTCTAGTTTCGTGAACTTATGATGCAAGGTTGCTGTATCATTGATGCTCACCCAAAACCTCAGGATTTCTTACTTGGTTGTTAAACATACATCTTTGAATAGATCAATTGTTTCAATTGTTTCTTTTTCTAAATGTCTCCAAAATTTTCTACAAGGGGCTGGAAAGTTCCACTGTTGACCTTGACTTATTAATAGACTATTTTGTAATTAAAATAGACTGTAGACTACACTATACTATAAATTGACAAAACTCTTATAAATTTATATATTAAGGAAATAAATGTGACTTAAATAATCAGATAAAGGAAAGGATTTAGTACTGAATTTAAAAACCAGGAAGTCAGTATGGTTGTCCTTGAGACTCTTATCATATAATATTATGTTATGATCTTCTCAAATAAACATGTCATAATATATGCTCTGTTTTAATTGACAGTGAATTTATTTCTCATGATGACCCATAAAATATACTCTGTTTTAACTGACTGTGAATTTATTTCTCATGATGACCCATAATATATGCCCTGTTTTAACTGACAGTGAATTTATTCTCATGATGACCCATACTATATGCTCTGTTTTAACTGACAGTGAATTTATTTCTCATGATGATCCATTGTTATTGTTTTGTAATATCTTAAAGTGCATGCAGGTTGAAGGCTACATACATGGCAGATTGTTTCTGGTGTGGGAGATAAAATCCTAGCTGATGTTGATTGCCATACTTAATAAGCTGTCCAAAGAATAACCCTAATAATTCTGACTCTCTCCATAATCAACCTCTCCTCTTTGTAGTAACCTTGGGAAGGAACAGCACAACACACATTTACATGTGTAAACTAACAACCACTGGTCATGTTAGCCTTTATTTATAAGTTAGCAAAAGTCAGTTCTACTTTGCCATTCTCATTCTTATACCCTGAAATAACCATTACAAACTATTTCTTTTGATCTATCCTATTAAAATCAATACCAACTTCGTAGTTTCCATTCAGACCCTCATTGTCAATGTATTGTAGACACTAATGAGTGATTTTAGTCAATTACATATGCTGACCTTTATTCAATAGATTTGAACTACATGTACATGTATTTAGTAGTGATAAATACCATTATAGAACTAGAATGACATACAGTGTCCCATATCTTATATTTCCAGAGAAAGCCATAGTACGACATTCCTACGATGCTGATAACGAGGACGAACTGGCGTTAAAGATTGGAGAGGTTGTCAATATCATCAGTAAAGAGGAGGAGGATCCAGGATGGTGGAAAGGGGAGTTAAATGGGAAGATTGGGGTTTTCCCTGACAACTTTGTGGAGTTAATGCACACAGATGAGGTAATTGTTTTCTTGTTTCTGTTTCTCTTGCTTGAGAGTTTGCTGTAATAACTGGTATGAACTGCTTATTTTACTTGCTGATTAACTGGACCATTGTCATTGATTAACTGGACCGTTGTCATTAGTATAATCTTACTCATTTCATCTGTTCTCATCAGCTAAATGTGTAGGCTAGGACATACCAACGTCACAGTCACTTAGAAAATATATGAAATTGTCTACTGTTCCCATTAGCATGACTATTTATAAATCAAATATTAACTAATGCCATATGGATTTTTCTCTTCCTATAGCCTATTCAATCTAAAACTGATAGAAACCAATTTTTTTCTTTCTTTAGAAAGATAAAAGTACAGATAATCTAAAAGCACTAATATTTATTGATGGGAAATTTTTAAAAATGGGTATTTATCTATGATTAAAGGGAAAAAAGTATTTTTTCCACAGTAGATTTACTGTAAAACTAACTTAAATGCTGTATTTAGTAAATCCTGAAAAAGAACCCTAAAAACCTCATTTCAAATCGAATACATAACTCATTTGAAGAATTGATAAATAAGTCCTTATGTATACAGTAAAGTTGAAGAAGTTCCATTATAAGGAAAAGGACAAAAGGATTGAGGTCAACTATATATTTATTCACCAACAAAAAGAAGTGTAATGATATTACAATGGAAAATTACAAAACTTCAGCCATGTCATAGCAAGCTTATGGTTTAACATTCAACAATTACATTGTGTAAAAGTAGGGAGCTGCTCAGGAGAGTTTTATAAATATTTTGCATGTAACATTTTGATATTTCAGTTTGGTACCGACAAAGTTTTAAGACCGAAGTTTCTTCCCAAAAGTGAACCACAAGTAGGTTATGTTTGTTGTCACCTTAATCATAGCATGCTATCTCTTTGTTGTTGGCTTAGATTATACGGTAGAAAGTCCCTGGTCATGGTACTAACACAATTCATATGCACTTTATACTATTCATGTAAAAGCTCTCGAGTTATGATGTTGTACAAGCATGTTAGCTGGATATCTATTCCAAAATGGTAGAAAAGGGGATTGAAAATCAGTTATTGTGGAATTGATTAGCATTAAGTTGGTATTTAATTAAAATGTTGACAGATATACATATTATATTAATGCTATAGTATAGTTTTGACACAGATAACATACCAGTGCTTATAAAAGGTTTGAGGTTTGAGCAGCTGCCACCCAAGCAATCTGATGTGATATCTCTTCCATATGAAGTGGAGCTTGGTGTGTAGCTGGTACAGCTGCCACCCAAGCAATCTGATGTGGTGTCTCTTCCATATAAAGTGGAGCTTGGTTAGTAGCTGGTACAGCTGCCACCCAAGCAATCTGGTGTGATATCTCTTCCATCTGAAGTGGAGCTTGGTTAGTAGCTGGTACAGCTGCCACCCAAGCAATCTGATGTGATGTCTCTTCCTTCTGAAGTGGAGCTTGGTTAGTAGCTGGTACAGCTGCCACCCAAGCAATCTGGTGTGATGTCTCTTCCATGTAAAGTGGAGCTTGGTTAGAGCTGGTACAGCTGCCAGCCAAGCAATCTGATGTGATATCTCTGAACAGGAGCTTGGTGTGTAGCTGGTACAGCTGTAACCCAAGCAATCTGATGTGATATCTCGTCCATATAAAGTGGAGCTTGGTCAGAAGCTGGTACAGCTGCCACTCAAGCAATCTGATGTGATATCTCTACCATATAAAGTGGAGCTTGGTTAGTAGCTGGTACAGCTGCCACCCAAGCAATCTGATGTGATATCTCTACCATATAAAGTGGAGCTTGGTTAGTAGCTGGTACAGCTGCCACCCAAGCAATCTGATGTGATATCTCTACCATATAAAGTGGAGCTTGGTTAGTAGCTGGTACATCTGCCACCCAAGCAATCTGATGTGATATCTCTACCATATGAAGTGGAGCTTGGTTAGTAGCTGGTACAGCTGTCACCCAGGCAATCTGATGTGATATCTCTTCCATATGAAGTGGAGCTTGGTTAGTAGCTGGTACAGCTGCCACCCAAGCAATCTGATGTGATATCTCTTCCATATGAAGTGGAGCTTGGTTAGTAGCTGGTACAGCTGCCACCCAAGCAATCTGATGTGATGTCTCTTCCATATAAAGAAGAGCTTGGTGTGTAGCTGGTACAGCTGCCACCCAAGCAATCTGATGTGATGTCTCTTCCATATAAAGTGGAGCTTGGTGTGTAGCTGGTACAGCTGCCACCCAAGCAATCTGAGGTAATGTCTCTTCCATATGAAGTGGAGCTTGGTTAGTAGCTGGTACAGCTGCCAAGTAAAGTCCAGTAAATAGCAGAAGACTTTTGTAATGTGTTAGTTTAAACCCAGTGTTAAATGGAGCAAATGTCAAATGAAAATCAGAGGAGCAGTGGAATAGACCTTATCGCTTGACCCGACAATCTGTGCCGCTTGCACTATTGACGTTATACAACAATCACTTTTCCATTGTGGCGTCAGAGGTTTTCTATTATGACGTCAAAATTTTACGAGAACCTTTGTGATGTCCAGTAATGGCAGACAAATAGTGATAAGGTGTATTGTTTTTTTACTAATCAACAGCTTCTTTAGGACAGACAGGTTCTTTTTGGAAAGTCACAAATACCTACATTTTTATACTATTAAAGATATCCAGTGTTTGTACCGTTAGTATTTGTTGTACTCCTGCAAACAAAGACCTTCAGGAGAGGAATATATATATGAATCATGTGTCTGAACCACAGTTCTATTCCTTCATCCAGTTTGCTTCAATTTTTATACACAATGTTTCAAGGCCATTGAAAATTGAATGTTGGTTTCCTCTAACGTAAGAAAAGGTTGGCAGGAAAAACTTTAAATTTTATTTTTATTTTTTGGCGGGGGAAAAAAACGAGGCACTTGCAGTTCCACTCTTAACTTTTTCTTAAACCACTGACTGGAAATTTTTGATTACAATCTTGTATAACATAATATCTTAATCTTTATTGTGATACATGTATAAGCTATTTTAAACTTTAAGAATGATAAATGAAAATTTATTTATGAAGTTATCAGACAATTAAAACATCATTGATAATTGTCTTAAAAGAGATTCTTGCTTTTATGTCATCTGTTTAGGGGAAACCAACAATCTTTTTTACATCACTATAGACTTAAGTTGTATTTAGTTTCCACAATTTTGCATAGTTAGGCTTATAAATTATATCCCTTTTCATAATCCAGCAGAATTTTCCTACAATAGATATAGGAAGATGTGGTATGAGTGCCAATGAGACAACTCTCCATCCAAGTTACAATTTATAAAAGTAAACCATTATAGGTCAAGGTACGGCCTTCAACACAGAGCATTGGCTCACACCGAACAGCAAGCTATAAAGGGCCCCAAAAAATTACTAGTGTAAAACCATTCAAACGGAAAAACCAACGGTCTAATCTATATAAAAAAGAGAAACAGGTATGAACTACATAAACAGACGACAACTACTGTAATCAGATTCCTGACTTAGGCTTGGTTGTGTATTTACTAGTTAAATTGTTATAATTTAGGAAGGATGATCCCAGTAAATTTTGTTTTCACTGAGGTAATGCATGCAGGTAGTAATAGATGAAAATAAAGAAAATAATATCTCCCCTCTTGTTTTCATGTCCTTATTGTCCCCCGCGTAACGCGTTGCGGGGGACATGGAAATACAGGGCGTCCATCCGGACTTGTTAGCGCTCTCACGGGTACAATTCTTGCCAGATTTTTATAAAACTTATACTATAGGTTAATATCAGCAATATCTCGGACAAGTTTTATAATGGTGGATGATCGACTTTTTTTTAAAAGAGTTATGCCCCTTGGAAATATTAAATTTATTGAAAATGGCCTCGTTAAAGCTCTCACGGGTACAATTCTTGCCAGATTTTTATAAAATTTATTCTATAGGATAATATCAGCAATATTTCGGACAAGTTCTATAATGGTGGACGATGGACTTTTTATTATACCCGCTTTAAAAAAGTGGGGTATACTGTTTTACCTCTGTCTGTCCTTCCGTCAGTCCATCTGTCAGTCAGTCCGTCCGTCCCATGAATATTTTCATCACATTTTTCTCAGGAACTACTTGACAAGGATTTCCGAAATTTTGATTCAGGGTTTATATAAGTTAGTTACACCGTGTGATGCGTTTTCAGATTCATCACTCAACAACTTCCTGTTTACCGAACACTTGTATTATTTTACACATGATAGCCAAGTTGAAAATTTTCGTCACATTTTTCTTAGGAACTACTTGACAAGGATTTCTGAAATTTGGTTTCAGGGTTTATATAAGTAAGTTACACCGTGTGATGCGTTTGCAGATTCATCTCTCAACAACTTCCTGTTTACCGAAATATTTCGGCGGGGGTATCATCAGTGAGCAGTAGCTCACAGTTTTACTTGTTTTAAAAGAGTTATGCCCTTGGAAATATAAACTATGTGCAATGCGGGGGACATTGGAACTCTGTTCTTTTATTTATTATTTGTTATTGAAGATTTATATTTTACAAAAAGCTTTATGTAAGAGTGGGTATGTATAACAGCATACAGACATAATAGCAATCCAAGTGGCAATCATACCACATCTCCTTTATTTTTTTTAAATCAACAAGTTTTGTATGTTGTCACCTTAACCACAGCATGCTTTATGTGAAAACAAACAAAACATTCCCTGTTTCCATTCTCAATTCTATACATATTTTACTTTAAAACTTTGCACACAGATTTCTCCCACAGGTTATAACATAAAACAAAAAAGTGTAAGTACTAGATGCTTGTTAGTTTCCTGTGTTTGTCATTGTTTGTAGTACAGGGTTTGAGGAAGTACATATTTCCCATTATTTAATTTTATCTGTTTTATCAATTCATTATCAGTCCATTCCTCTTCAATGCTGTTATAAACTTTCATCCTTAAACAAATTTAATTATCTTGTGATAAAATAACAAAAAGATTTTTTTAAATTGATTATTACTTAATAAACCCATACTTGACCTTTGACTTGTGTAATGGGTTTCCGTATTGTTTAATGCAGATATAGCTCTATTCCCTGTGAGGGTTGTATTACAATGACAAAGAAAGTAAGTCTGAACTTTCATTACTTTTAATCACAGAACAGCAAGAGTTATTAAGTTTAAACATAACAATTCACGTCTTGTTATATGGTCATCTATATGACACTTTTACTTTACATGTCAAATTCAAATTTTCTATTTTCAATCTTTCTCCTTACCACAAGAAATATGTCCTTATTTAACATGTTTAATATCCATTTAGAATTCTCTATATTAAGAAAAAATAATGATATAATTTTCTACAAAAACTCTCTAATTATCAGTAAAATGAAAAATAATGTATATTTTGTCAATTTATATGTTTTCTGAAAACCTTTGACCACCTTTATTATAAATTGATTCATTAAAATCCAAAGAAGTAAAATAATCAGTGAAAATAAAATTTAGAAAGTAAAGAAATCCTTTTCAATTTGGAATATTTGAATAAATGTATCATGTTTAAATGGTAAAATCTTAAGTTCTGAGCCAATAACCTCTGAAATTCAAAAGTGCAAGTTGATAAAGATGGCGTCCCAGACATCTGCAGACATATATTGATTTGTGTATTTTCATGTTTTAAGAAAATCCCATTCTTCATACTTGTGAGTTGTCTGCTACAAGTCAGACCCATGGTACAGCTGTTGTAGTCCAAGCTAATATTTATTGTTCCTTCACCAGTGGGGAAACAAACAAATAGTTTTGATGTTGTCTCTCCTCAAATCTGAAATTCACTAGTGCAGCAATTCCCTTGAACACTTTAAAGTAGGACCTAGTAATCAGTGATCAGTTTCACAAAAAATCTTAAAAGCCACAATGATTGTCATAGAGGTATGCTGTATAGTTAGCTAGAAAGGCCTTGGCATGACAAAATGAGAGACAATTAAAAAAAACAAAAAACAATCAGCCTGATTTATGATTAAAACAAATGCTGTGGCTTTATTTATTTTTGTGGATATTTGATTTCATGGTTTTGCCAAAGTCTGCATACAAACTTAAAGAACATTTAAACACACAGAATTTGTAGTTAAACTTAACCTGAACCCACAAAATCCATAAAAATTGGTATCCCACTATAATAATGAATCCACAGTATAACAGACAGCAAACAAGGCTTTTTCAATCAGTCTTTCTGCCCAGCTGTACAAGGTAGACAATTTTATATGATCATAGTAATAAGTTCAGATTTCATGTAACCACATCCATCATTAGTTGAGTGGTAGGTATTTCTGTTTACAAGGCTCTGATGAAAGATTTAATTACTATTCATTTGTGACAACAAGAAGGATAAGACTTTACTATCTCTACAATATAGTCTTATCTTTGATTATTTTCAGCCACGCCCAAAGAAGCCTCCACCTCCTACCACTACCCCATCATTAGCTCAGGCGAGTGTAAAATTACCTGAGAAAGCAGCTGCACCAGAGACAGCTCATCACACAGAAAAACATGCTAAAAAAGAGAAAGATGGTAGGTATTATGACAAAGATTTTGTTCTCTTTAATTTGTGTAGTGACAGTACTAGTAGTGTATTAATGCTTAAAATATTAGACCATATATTAAACTAGTTCTATGCAAGTTAGGATTGTAAATTAATTGAGTCTTGACCACATCTTTGCATAAGACTTTTGATAAAAGTTTTTATCTTAAATTAACATAATTTGATAGGTTACACCAAACTTGTTCTTAACCATTCTGATACATAAAATCCAATTTTGACCAATCTGAAAATTCATATGTATGCCAGTTACAAGTGATTTTAATTTCTTTCAAACAATTTTTATGCCCCACCTAGGGGCATTATGTTTTTCGGTCTGTCCCGCTTCAGGTTAAAGTTTTTGGTCAAGGTAGTTTTTGACGAAGTTGAAGTCCAATCAACTTATATCTTAGTACACATGTTCCCTATGATATAATCTTTCTAATTTTAAAACCAAATTAGAGTTTTGACCCCAATTTCACGGTCCACTGAACATAGAAAATGATAGTGTGAGTGGGGCATCCGTGTACTAGGGACACATTCTTGTTATTGTCAAGTTTAATTTTGATTCAAGATGAAATTTAACCAGGCCATACAGAGATTTGAACATTTTGAGCTGAAGTTTTAATCTTATAACTAGATTTTTTTTCAACGTTTCTAATGTTCATTTTGCTATTCTTAATTCAAACTACATATTTGCCATTTTAATAAGATCCGAATTTGACCTATTTTATTGTATACACTAAACAAGATACATGTATATGTAGAACCTTTATATTTGTCTATTGACAATGAATTCAAAATTAGAAACATTTGCATAATCTTTTGACCTTAAAAAAAAGAAGAGAAAAATATAGCCGTCACTTTTTACAAATTGTTAATTCATTGCATGAAAAGAAAGCTGAGGGTTTACAAAATATAAACAAACATTCTTAATAACAAACTAACAGTTTTGAATTGTTTTACATTTGTCATTTCGGGGCCTTTTATAGCTGACTATGCGGTATGGGCTTTTGCTCATTGTTGAAGACCGTACAGTGACCTATAGTTGTTAATTTCTGTGTCATTTGGTCTCTTATGGAGAGTTGTCTCATTGGCAATCATGCCACATCTACTTATTTTTACATTAACAGTGTAGATTTTAACCTATATTTGTGAATATTTAATTTTATCACTATTCAATGCAGTACTAGTTTGTGTGAATAAAGTTTATTTTGTTTCAAAATACTTTTAGGTAAAGAAAACACTGATACAATCTTAATTGCAGTGGTGAAGAAACAGTTCTTCCTTTGTATTTTACAGGAAACCTTGGAGTTTCCAAATACTAATTTGGATTGATCAGGGGAATTTTACTCTGTGTCTTAAGCTGCAGATAAGATAGGATCAGACACTGTTCTCTATGCCATGACTTTAAATCTCTGTAGTACAGATCCGGTCAGCAACAAATTACACATTCATGCTGTAAAATGTTGTAAATATCGAGTCATCAACTGAAACAAATTACACAAGCTGTAAACATTTGAAATATAAAAAATATATGGCCATACATAAAGGTCACACATACTAGTAATATTGTATTTAAATTGAACCATGCTAACGTGCAAAATTTATATTGACACAGGCTAGTACTACTTAATTGTTTATACTAACAAGTTATTAACTACCATTACAGATTTACCGAGTGTTGACACATATAAGTACTACTTTGTTGTTTATACTAATGAGTTGACATTTTAGATTTACCGAGTGTTGAAAAATCTGCACCACCAGCATTACCCAGCAAGAAACCTTCCGTACCTCCACCACTGCTTCGTAAGCCAGCTAAACCAGACCCCCCACGGCCCACGTCACAAACAGAGCACAAGCTTCCACCCCCTACAATAACAAAGGAGGAACCTACTAAAGATACAGAGGAGAAAAAACATACAGGTTATTCATCATCAGTAATTGTAACAGTTACTTCCCTTGAGCCATATATGCAGAGTTGCTTCCCCTTTTCTAAACATACTGTAGTTCCTCACTGTAGCAATGTTTGAACGATTTGCTGACTGTTTTTGGTAAGATAAAAAAAAGGGTGTGTTTTTCATGATATTTGGCATCAATATAACTTGTGTTTTTAAGGGGGTATGAATAAAAAATGATAGAATTTGTTTTTACTTGGTCAAAATGTATTTTATATAGTGCTATTTCAAAAAAATAATAATAAAAATTAAAGTTTTGTTTTATAGCTTTTGGTTGTGAAAAACTGACACATTTTGTACGGATTACACAGGGAACACTCCTTAATTTTGAAATAGAATATGAGAAGATAGCTCTTCTAAAATGCTTTAAAAAAAATTAAATAAAAATGTCAGAAAAATGACACTTGGAAATAACTTTGTGAAGAAATGTTTTTTGCCACTATTCTGATGATTTTTGTTTTACAGTTATAAAGTGCCTGCTTTAACCAACTACAGAAGTAACCACAGCACTTTTCTATATAGAAAATAGTTTTGATGTAAACATTTAGATGTTCTTTTGGGTATTCACTGATAAACCATTGCAATTTTTGATTTTTAGAAAGCGAATTCACTGTTTTTTATTCTGTCATCCTTCAAATCTTGATAAATAATGAAATATGAAAGACCTTACAATTAAGACTGCGCATAATCTATGAAGAATTTATAATTCTGAATATATATAGGTCTTATGCAATACTTCAATTTGAATCATATATTTCAGTTGTGGAAGCAGGCAATGCCCTGAGTATCCTTGTTCAAAGTGTTTATAAAGATTTTTTTGTAAAGGATACTTGAAGTATGTATGAAGCTCTTTTGTTAAAAAAAGTACTACTCCCGTTTAAATCACTAAATGTATGTGCTGTAAACCTGAACGCTGTAAACAAGCTTACAAAAAATAAATAAGGAAGTTCAAATATTTCTATTTCAGGTCAATTTGATGAAATACAGGCCTCGTCTGACAAACTTACACATTTGACAGCAAGTCGACCAAAAGGTCCTTCTAAACGACCTCCATCACAAGTCTTTAACCATACGGTATGTATCACAGACTCAGCCAAAATCAAGTCAACATTGCTTCCCTCAAAATATCACCGATTACAAAGTCATGAACCCTATTGGATGCCCATATCCTGGTGGACATATTTTAGCCTTTCCACAAGTTGAGCAAGAGTTGTGTCCCTTGGTCTGTCAAACTTCTGGTATTCGTTTGAGTCAGACTACGGGTATCAAAACATTTCTTTGGTCCGGACCAATAAAGAATGAGAGTCAACTGTATTTTAAGAACCAAAAGTCCCTCAAAACAATTGGTTATTTTTAAGTTTGCAACCATTTGATGCGTAAATATCCCTGTACTGAAATAATATTTAAAAGTGCTGTCAAATCATTTTCATCACAACTTTCTAGTCATATTGTATGTAAAAGTCTTGTAGCTAAAACAAAAGTCAAATGAAAAGTTCTTCCTGAGGGCTGTTACATTAAAACATAAATGGTACCCAGGGAAGGCACTTTAAAAATGGGGTAACCACCTATATAGGCAAATTAAAATTTCACTTACATTTATACTATGCAAAAACATAGATGACACCCACCCATAGTTGAGATTTGGAAGTGCCTTCCCTGGGTCCCATGTATTATGTAACAGCCCTGAAGCCTATAGCTTTCTATGTTTATTTTGATTCTGTTGAGTGTTGTAGCTGTTTAAAATGTTTGTCTTTCTATCATAACATGTCCTTAATTTTTTTCTCAGCAATTCTTTATATACTTAAGTGTACTAGTTTTTATAATCATATTTTTACATTCTATATATAGGTACAAACTGACATTAGGGAATATGCACACATACTAAGAAATTATAAAAAAAAAAAAAAAAACACTTTTTAATTTTAAAACATTAGGTTTTTTTTAGTAAATGTTCTTGGTAACTTATTAGGTTTTTTTTGGCCTAAACAGAAATTTACCTATGTTTTTATGTTGGTGTGCTTCCTACTAAAATGTGCTTTTGTTTGCTTTTAATAAATTACCCCCATAAATGCATTTAATTCTTTTGACTGCACCAATGTCATCCCAGCCCTAATCTAATTCAACACAATCTTTGGACATTTATCATTTGCAGTTTAAATTTATCAAGGTTTTAAACATCATCTTTTGAATCATGTGATGTCTTGACCAATCATTTACTGTTTCAAGGAAGACGTACATAATATATAAATCATACAATTACACAATCATTACTGTATATCCTAACATATGACAGAATACATTGTTCTATTTATAGTCTCAGGGAATTACCAAGACTGTCCAGGTATACAGCTAATGCTACTTACTTCTTATACAATACTATTCCATTCAAACATACACCCAGGATAGTCACTCTTAAATTATTTATATTGGTTTCTTAAAATACATTTATCCGTACAGCCTATGTTTGATTCCCAATTGCAGTTTTGACTCCATTTCCCTTGATTCGGTCAAAACCAAATTGAATTGATCTGAGTTGTAACTTGTTCTGATTTATTAAGTTGGCTCATCTGTTATGAAAATATGAATATGAACTTAGTGAGACAACTTTCTGTTCAAGTCTTGATATAATGTATGTGCTTTTAATAGATTGCATTACAATAGTGTGATGGACCTTTTCAACATCTGTTTTCATATTCACCAGCTAATTTGGTTCAAATTTAGTTTCATGAATATGCATGAAATATTTGCCACCTGACTTTAAGCAAACAATTATTCATCAATCAAACAAATAAGAATGAAAAGTTTGAGAAATGATTAAGTCGTTTGTAAGTGTTAATGTCCCATGTTTAGAGTGCCTACTCTGGTCTCTGGACCTGTGTATGTTTGAATGGAATAGTCTTTTGAGTTCTTTTCTCTCACTTGGAAATGAAATCACTTTAGAAAATCAGTAATTTTCAGTTTCAATAGCAAATCCTTTTAGAACTTCATTAAAGATTATACAATGTTGCTAAACAAAGAATTTGGAATAAATATTCTTTTAAGCCCAGCTGCACATTTAAAAATAACAGCCTCTTCAAAAAAAATCATGGTTACTTGTTCTGTCAAAAAAAAAAATCGTCACCAGTTAAACCATACCTGCCATCAGGGGCTCCATAGATCCTAATCAAAAATACACTTTTCAACTATCTACTAAGTTAATGTAGCATTCGTATACTATCCAAATTCATACTTTGCACTGCCTACCAAAAAGGCAATCAGTAACCATGTGTAACTCATTCTTTCCAACAATTCACCAGTCCATCCTTACACCAATGTTACCTGTTTAAAATCACACTGACAATAACCCATGGTAACAAGAGCTCACTTGATTTATATTCAAAATGACACTTATCATTTCAATGGATGTACATGTATTTTTATAGCACATTGAAACAAATGTTGAAAGCGAGGTAATTTTTCACCTAGATTGAATTTTTAACAAAATTATACTAATAATTTCATTTTCTCCTTCAACATGTTCAAGCTGTTGAGAGTATATATCATTCTGATGGCTACTATGTCTGGAGCTAAGACAAACATTTCTAGGAATGTGACAACAGCTAACATAAAATCTGCTCTATGTGACCTTGATTAACAATGAATTCTTTAACATTTATAATTATATTGTATGCTACCCTTCTTGGCAGTATAAGAAAATTTTAGCGACAAAACTGCCAATTTCTTTAAGGGGGCACCATTCATAGCAGTGTTAATTTATTGAATTGTCAGCATAATACTTCTAGTTAAATAATTTTTTAATCACATCAAATTAAATTATGAAAAGTATATAACTTGGAATTATAACAACTTTAACTTAATAAGCAGTACAAATTTTTATCTACAACATGTAAATATTACGTTTGTTGACTAACTTTAGGGGAGTAAAGTGTTCCGTACTATCACGGTGAGAATGAAGCTAGCTTAGATTCTTTTCTATCTGTAGATCTGCTGTGATATTTTAGCTTTTGTTTTCTATCTTTTCAATAAGCAGAGAATCATTATTATCAAATGAATGGCAGGGGAAGACTTTAGATTTTAGAGCACTGTTGAAAGTTGTAGATTGTATTGAAGCTGTATGTTATATTGTCAGTATCATATTTAGAATCACATACTCAAATGGTACAAATTGTAAACCTATGTTTCAATTAAATTTATTGTTCACATGCCTTCAACCCCTCAGGGTATAAATGTGCATTTCTTAACAATTAAAACATTAAGTTAGCTAAGTTTACTTTAAAATTAAAAGTTTTTGATGCTAAAAAAGCTGCTATACAGAAAAAATACAAATGCAATTTACTGTATGTAAAACTGATTTATTTAGAACTTTCACAAAAATACATAACAAATTTTAGATATTTTGGAATCCATGTTTTTTTGTCGCAGAAAGCTCGACATAGGGATAGTGATCCGGCGGCGGCGGCGTTAGCTAACTTTTTAAAAGCTTTATATTTTAGAAGGTTGAAGGTCTGGGTGCTTCATACTTTGTATATGGATGCCTCATGTTACGAAGTTTCCGTCAGTCACATGTCCAATGTCCTTGACCTCATTTTCATGGTTCAGTGACTACTTGAAAAAAAAGTTAAGATTTTTTGTAATGTTAGATTCTCTCTTATTATAAGTAATAGGATAACTATATTTGGTATGTGTGTACCTTGCAAGGTCCTCATGCCCGTCAGACAGTTTTCACTTGACCTCGACCTCATTTCATGGATCAGTGAACAAGGTTAAGTTTTGGTGGTCAAGTCCATATCTCAGATACTATAAGCAATAGGGCTAGTATATTCGGTGTATGGAAGGACTGTAAGGTCTACATGTCCAACTGGCAGGTGTCATCTGACCTTGACCTCATTTTCATGGTTCAGTGGTTATAGTTAAGTTTTTGTGTTTTAGTCTGTTTTTCTTATACTGTATGCCATAGGTCTACTATATTTGGTGTATGGAATGATTGTAAGGTGTACATGTCTTGCGGGCAGGTGTCATCTGACTTTGACCTCATTTTCATGGTTCAGTGGTCAAAGTTAAGTTTTTGAGTTTTGGTCTTTTTTTCAAATACTATATGCAATAGTTCAAGTATATTTGGTATGTGCGTACCTTACAAGGTCCTCATGCCCGTCAGACAGTTTTCACTTGACCTCGACCTCATTTTATGGATCAGTGAACAAGGTTAAGTTTTGGTGGTCAAGTCCATATCTCAGATACTATAAGCAATAGGTCTAGTATATTCGGTGTATGGAAGGACTGTAAGGTGTACATGTCCAACTGGCAGGTGTCATCTGACCTTGACCTCATTTTCATGGTTCAGTGGTTAATAGTTAAGTTTTTGTGTTTTGGTCTGTTTTTCTTATACTGTATGCCATAGGTCTACTATATTTGGTGTATGGAATGATTGTAAGGTGTACATGTCTAGCGGGCAGGTGTCATCTGACCTTGACCTCATTTTCATGGTTCAGTGGTCAAAGTTAAGTTTTTTGAGTTTTGGTCTTTTTTTCTTATACTATATGCAATAGTTCAACTATATTTGGTGCATGGAAATATTTTATGATCTATTTGTCAGTCACGCAGGTTTTGTTTGACCTTGACCTCATTTTCAAGGTTCATTGCTCAGTGTTAAGTTTTTGTGTTTTGGTCTGTTTTTCTTAAACTATAAGCAATAGGTCAACTATATTTGTTGTATGGAAGAATTGTTAGCTATACATGCCTGCCCAGCATGGTTCATCTGACCTTGACCTCATTTTCATGGTTCATTGGTCAATGTTTAGTTTACTTGGTTAATGTTAAGTTTATGTGACAGTTGTAATAAAGCTTTATATTTAGGACTATCAACATAATATCAATGATTAGTAAAGAAGGCGAGACATTTCAGCGTGTGCACTCTTGTTTTTTATTAACCTCTATTTCATACATCCTTTTAATTTTGATAAAATATTGTCTGTATGGTGCAGAAAATAAAGGGAATAAATGATTTAAAAATAAAAAGGGAATAAATGATTTAAAAATAAAAATGGACTATAAAGTTTGACAAGATGGAATGGTTAATTTGAAAGGTGAAATGAATATAAAATACAATAGGGAACAGTTTGTAGGTTTTAAGGTAGATGAATATTTGAGAAACTTTTGTAAGGATATTCTCTTATATTTACTATTAGCCAGGTAATCATTAGCTCTGACAGCACAGATAATGTCCAGATTTGAACTAACACATACCTTTATAGATTTAATTTCTGCTAGTTTGGCTTTAACACATTTTTATACGCCCGTTAACGGAACGTATTATGGTATACCTCTGTCCGTCCGTCGTCAATATGTCGGACATTAACTCAAAAAAGCTTTAACCAATTTGCATAAAACTTTGGTGAATTGTTTATATCTATTGACGTGAGCTCCCTTTCGCTTTTTATAAATTTTAGATTTTACGTTTCCGAGTTACAGGGTTTTATTCATAAAAAAAGGGGGATTTTCCAGTTTTCAGACAAAAACTCAAAAATGCTTTCAGCAGTTCTTATGAAACTTTGGTGAATTGTTTATATCTATTGATGTAAGCTCCCTTTAGAATTTTATAAGTTTTACATTTTACATTTCTGACTTATGGGGTTTTATTCATTAAAAAAGGGGGGATTTTCCAGTTTTTGGACAATAACTCAAAAATGTTTTCAGCAATCCTCATGAAACTTTGGTGAATTGTTTATATATATTGATGTAAGCTCCCGTTACATTTTCATAAATTTCTAATATGACATTGAGAATTAATTGAACTTTATTTGTTTATAGTCTGACAACAGATTTACTAAGTATTGCACAACAGCACAGTGTAATGCACAACAGCAAGAAATCTTTAATTGAATATAAATTCAATTCATATAACCAATTTCAAGTTCTTTGACTACATTTATTCAGAAACCTATAATATGTCAAATATTTAATACAATCCAAATTCAGACCTATATCAAGCTTGAATATTGTGTCCATTTTTGCCCCAACTGTTCAGGGTTGAACCTCTGTGGGCATATCCAGCTGCGCTCAGCGAAGCAGTTTATTTCATTTACTGTGGATTCATTTATTTTTGTGGAATGAGGAAAAATTGCATTATTGTGGATATTTAAATTTTTGGTTTAGCCAAAGTCTGTATATATGTCTATAGACAATTTGTATTTCGTAGATCATTTAGATTCTTGGTTCAAATTTACCAACGAAATTCAAGAATATTGGTATCCAACGAATAATAACGAATTCACAGTAGAATATAAGTTTTAATATGAGATTAAGCAAAAGGGGAAAAATAATGCTTTTGTTTATTAGTGAAATCATAGGAAATATGGAGTAAATTTTAAAGATAATGCAACCAAAAAATAATTAGTTGCTGAAAATGGAATCAAGGAAAAAAGGTAAAATGACATCAGATTGGGAATAAAAAATATAAGCTGATGCAACACCATGGCAAAAGATCAAAAGAAAGCATTCCACAAAATACTACTTAAAAACTAAACATTGAGCAACTTGAACCCTATCAAGAACAAGGGATGAACTTAAATATTCTGAAAGGATCAGCAGTTCCTACTCCACCAGTGACATCTGGTGTGTAACTCCTTAAAATCTGTTTTTGAGTCATAACAAGGGATAAGGTATCATGAATTAATGAGTTGATAATTGTCTCTTGCTTAACCCTAAACAACAAATATATAAACATCTGTTAATCTTCAGACTGTATTCATAACAGAAGGTAATATTTGCAAAAGAAACAATTTTTCAGGATGAGCTCAACTTTAAGTTACCAGGGTAAAACCCATTCAATGAAAATACATTGAGAACTGAAATATCACAAAATACATTACTGAAAAATAAGGGTAAATTCAGGTGTTCTGTAAGAGTAGGAATTTCCTGTTTTAAAAAAGGTACCAGTCATGTAAAAATCTGTTACGCTCAGTTGTATCATAAACGATGATTGGGAGAGGTCATCATAAAGTCACAGATCATAATCTCGCTAAGTCCTGACGCAATACAACAATATCTTAATTATCCCTAGTCCTTATAAGGTTTGAATAAATGTATGTAATGATTTTGTTTAAGTTAAGTATTACATTTAAAAAAAAAATGAACATTTTAATAAGATAATAGATATATGAATATTAAATACATTATTCTACTGGACAGGAGGAAGAAAGAAATGGTGATGTAAAGGATACTCATTGGTTAAAGGAGGATAAAACTCTACATTCCAAGTCTCATGTTAAAGATACAGATATCCATAAAGGAGGGCCAAGTCATTCAGATATCCATAAAGGAGGGCCAAGTCATTCAGATATCCATAAAGGAGGGCTAAATCATTCAGATATCCATAAAGGAGGGCCAAGTCACACAGATATCCATAAAGGAGGGCCAAGTCACACAGATATCCATAAAGGAGGGCCAAGTCATCCACAAGCAACAGATTACCATAAAGGAGGACCAAGTATTCCCCCAACACGACCTCCTGAACCCAGCCCAGCAGTCACAGCGACAGTACCTACAGCAGGTTAGCAAAAAATCACAGCTGTGCAAGTCTCTGATCACACATTATATTATATTCAAATATTGAAAGAAAAATTTCCAGTTTAATCATATAATTGTCAAAAAATTTATTCCCCATTTTGTTGTCCCTCTTTTCAAGAAGTCATTCAAAATATACATACGATCAGTGTCTACACCTTCTTGTGCTTTAGCCTTGTATGTTGTAGAAATTGACAGGCTGCTTGATTTAGAACAATTTAACTTGCTCTTTGATGCTGATGCAAAATAACTTTTTGAATAACTTAATCACTGTTTAAAAACAGATGAAAACCAATCAATGACAATGACTTCCTAAAGTGTCTCTTTTACCACAGCTATATCCACTGTAGTGTCTTTTCAACTTTTTTATACTGACTTTCCTAAATATGGAATAAGAAGTTTTCTAAAATTTCCAAGTGTATGGTTTAGTTGATAATATACCTGAAAATGCATCTTGGTTAGAAAAGGTAGTACCGGTAGTTATAGTTAGATCAAGTGGAACTTTGTCACCACTTATAATTTCTACTGCAATATGTAAATATGTATTTATTTTTCAGCTCTCACAAGTCTTCACACAGCCATAGAGGATCTAAAGAAAGAAATACATCACCTCAAATTAAACACAGTATCAAAAACAGCATTTGATGAACTTAAACATGATAACGAAAAAATCCGACATGAATTAGACTCACTGAAAGCTACCAGTAATAGAAAGCTGAGAGACCTTATAAACGAAGTGGACGAAGAAAAGAAGATTCGACTCAGTACTCAAGTGGAAATTGAACGCATTAAGAAATTAGTCAATGAATCGCATGTGTAGCTGTACATACATTATCATTATTTTCCTATAAACTGGTCAGTTCAAGGTCGTCGGTTGTTACGTCAGTTCAAGGTCGTCTGTTGTTACACCAGCTGGTCAATTCAAGGTCATCTGCCTAACAAGTTTTTTCTCTGTACAGTAGAATTCCTCTGCCAACTAGAACTTTACATGATAAACAAGCATTCTTTTATTCAGTTTTGTTCATGAGGGAAGCAAGTTCGTTAAGATTTTGTTGGAGAAATATAAGATGTTGCCTACTATATCACTTTCTGAGCATGTCTGCATATTATTTTTAAAGGTTATATTAGAATTGATAAGACCTCAGATAAAATGACATTTGTGTCCCTCCAAATTACATTTTTCATCACAAACCAGCTATAGAAAAGCATTCATTAATTGACAGGGGTAAGACTATTTTTAAACAACCTTGGGTTTCTAGGCACGTTTAAGCTATAGATATGATATGACTGCTGAGATGATTTAATTTTCCCGAAAATAAAAAGTTGACCAAAGTCTTGTGACAATTTTGTTTTTACATCCTGGTCTATATAGTGATCACTTGATCAGTCACATGATACTGATTCATTAAATGTAGATTTATGATTTTGGACACTGGTAAAATCTGTGTTATTACCTGATGAATTCCTCTTTATTATCAACATTAAAGACTTTCTATTTGCCCTGTTGAAACATTCTGATGGCGCAGCTGTTGTGACTTGAAGAAACAAAAATCTGTGTTTTCATATTTTATACTTGACTGTGTTAAACACAAAAATTCACAATAAATCTCTTGTTTTATGTGCCATTTATTTGTTTGTTAAACATTAGAGATTTTAATCAGTAAAATTCAAAACCATGCTCTATATTTGATGGGTCTCATCTAAATTTCCAAATTCACAAATATCATACATCATTGTACCATGTTCTCTTTTCATCATTTTGCCATGAAGAAGACTAATGGACTGATCAGTTTAAAGTCAGCTATACATATCTATGTTTAATTTATTACTGTAGTGAAGGCAGTAGAAGGTTCTCAATATTTATTGCATGCAGTAGATCAAATTAATTATTCATAGTGTTTTCCTTATATAGTATTTTTTTATTTGCTATGCATTAGTGAAGATCATTTAAATTTTCACATTTTCAAGTAGCTATTTTCTTTGTCAATTTTTTACAATTTTTATGAAATTTATATATACAAAATATAATATTGTTGAAAGTATTAAAATTTTTATGTATTTTTATCTTAAAAATATATCTTGCACAGAAATTAGAAAAATAATGGTAATTCCAAAGGTTATAAATTGACCTGAAAGATATACAAATCAGTGGAACTGGTGAAATGCCCCAACAAGGTTAAAAATAAAATGGAGTTCTGACCCTCCAGATTATGTATTTCTTGGAAAGCTCAAACTAAACACAACAACCTCATACCTTCTGTCACTGATCTGTTTGAAGGAATAACTTAAAACAAATTTTTATTGTACATTTATAAGTTAATAAAGTATTCTTTTTTGCTAATATTTGAAAGGAAATATAATAGCTAAACTCTACTTTCACTTTTAACGAGATCTTTACAGTTAACTTTACCCTGACAAAACCAGAAAGTTTCCTATTGTCTCATTCTTTGGGGAAATTTTGAAAAACAATTTTAGAATACTGGCTCTTTTCACAAAAAATTTTTAAGACAAAAATTGATTTTAACTTATATTTAAATTTTCATGTTGGTTCTAGTAAGGTTTTTTGTGAAATTGATCACAGACTAGTATAGGCATTTAAAGCTTTGATATAAAAGGTTATTATCCAGGCAATTATTTTAGTTTTAAATGTAATGAATTTATTCCCAATACTTCAAGTGCATTCATATGTTTATAAATATAACACATTCCTTGTTGTGAACAGTTATTACATTGTTTTATTTGTGATTCAATATTTAAATTCAAATCAGAGGCTTTAAATTTAATCTAAAATTTGGTAAATATTCTTGTTGCATGATATGTTACTTATGCTTATTTCTTCCTTGTACATAAATAGAATTTTTGGGTAATTTAGAGATGTTCTGTCATACTAAATTCAGACTTAAAAAAATTAAAAAAATATTTGGTTGAACAAAGTCACTGCCTAGTATGTCATTATTGTTGTCAGTTAGAAACTCATCATAAATCCATCACTGATACAGTAGGAATCTTATATTAGAATTTCCTTTTATATCTCTACATAATTTCACATTTTTAAAGAATCAAAATTTTTTTATGCTTTACCATACATATAGTTTTACAAAGATTTTGATTTGTTTTTTTCTTTCAAAAAGTTAAATATGCAGAAGAAGTACTAACAATTACCCTAACAAAACTGTATATTATATATATAAATATATCTTGTATACCTCTCACTCATATTATGGTGCTTGTAATTCTAATATAGTCAGGAGTTTTTCTGTTTTTGATACATTTTGTATTTTTGAATTGATTTAAATATTAGCCGACATTTGTTTCTATGATCTGAGATGGGCAATATGACTGTAAAATAATGAATTCATGTCCCCACTGGCTTGTTTGATGGAGAATTTACCATATAATGGGTTGTAATTGCTTGTAAATATTACAGTAAGCCATACTACAATAACTCTTTTAACAGTACCATCTGAAAAACAGTAAAAACTCCTGACTGATTATGTGTGTGTTCTATACAGGGCATTAATATATCTCATTATAATATTATTAAGTGTATTAGAATCTCAAAGAATTCCACATGAATATAATTCAGGTGTTGTTGCTGAAGACTTTCTTTACTGTTCTCACAAGATACCTTAATAAACTGGGGACCTGTAGGAAACGTGTTCTCACAAGATACCTAAAGTAACTGGGGACCTGTAGGAAAGGTGTTCTCACAAGATACCTAAAGTAACTAGGGACCTGTACGAAACATGTTCTCACAAGATACCTAAAGTAACTGGGGACCTGTAGGAAAGGTGTTCTCACAAGATACCTAAAGTAACTAGGGACCTGTAGGAAACGTGTTCTCACAAGATACCTAAAGTAACTGGGGACCTGTAGGAAAGGTGATCTCACAAGATACCTAACGTTACTAGGGACTTGTCGGAAATGTGTTCTCACAAGATACCTAAAGTAACTGGGAACCTGTAAGAAATGTGTTCTCTAATAAATCTCACAAGATACCTAAAGTAACTGGGGATCTGTAGGAAACGTGTTCTCACAAGATACCTTAAGTAACAGGGGATCTGTAAGAAATTTGTTCTCACAAGATACCAAAAGTAACTGGGGACCTGGAAGAAATGTGTTTTCACAAGATACCTAAAGTAACTTGGGACCTGTAAGAAATGTGTTCTCTAATAAATCTCACAAGATACCTAAAGTAACTGGGGATCTGTAAGAAACGTGTTCTCACAAGATACCCAAAGTAACTGGCACCCTGCAGAAAACTTGTTATATTTTATAACTTTGATTTTTTTTGAATTACCATGGACTAGCTGACTTCAGCAAACAATATGTACTAAAACTGAATATTTTTGTACAGAAGTTTTACTCAGACAGCTGTTTAACTTTTCAATGGTGTCTTGTAGTGATTTAAATAGACCAGATCCTATTTCAAAATATTATTAAGAAATTCTTATTTTTAATCATTGTATATTTGTATAGTTACATTTTAATTAATGCTTAATGATATTGCCATTAAAAAGACCCTCTTCTCACATAAATGGTTAAAACTTTACGTAGCCTATATCTAAATTCACCAAGTTGTGTCCAGCACTGAACTTTTTAAATGTCCTGAAATATATTAAAAATATTTGGTCCTGTTGTTTCTCACAACCATAGGGTGCTACATAAATATCGTAAGTTTCACCTACTTCATGTTTGTTGGATATATTGTATGTTAAGATACAGAAGAGGGGGTAACATTTTGTGAACTTTCACATGTGTTAATTCATGATATTCATGCCATGCATGTTGTTAACAGAGATGTAAAGAGATTAGACCCAACAGTTATTTTATCAATGGAATGAAAGAACATTTATTAAAGTGAAAAAAAGTTAAATTGATTATTATTGTTATTATTATTCAAAAGAATTCCCAAGATGAATATGGAATGAAGGAGCAGTGCATAAATATAGGTTTTTGCTTTATATAAATTTTAATTCATCAGTTCTATAAATAGGCTGTATTATAACACAATGTGTACAATATCATGGCTTATAGCTTATATCATATCAGAGATAGCCAATCTCATGGTTAGTGAACTATATATAAATTGATTTGAATGTGGAATGTTTTATAGATCCATCTCCCCAATAGAGTTGTTTTGTCAGTGCATACATCTTAGAAAGTCGCAAAGGTCCATGAAAATAAAGTTATCTTGACCAAGATTTTACACATGAACGACTAGTGCAGATCTAACATAAAAGAATGAAATTGTTGTCGGTGCACACATATTTGATAGCACTGGGTAACATGCTAAATGTCCCAACTAACTCAAACATTCTTTTTAATACAATAAAGAATTTATTCTGGGTAACTAAAATGAAGTCTGTCTTACTGATAAAATATACTTTCATGTAGGTCATTTTTCTCTTTGTTTTTTTTTTGTTTTGTTAGAATGCATGTCTGGTCAATAGATGTGATAAAAGTCATTCTGCCAATAAAATAAAGCTTGCCATGTAGTGATAGAGCTTTCATTGTTATATTTAGATCTGTATTAAGCTTTGTATTCCTGGGTCCATACAAGTTCAGTGAAATCTTAGAAGTGTGTCATTCGTTATAAGAATCTTGTAATGATAAAAATAGGAATTGAATCAAATTTAAAACATGAAGCAATGTACACTGAAATATCATTGTATATCATGTAAAATAGAGCTATAAATTGTCCAAATTCAACAGTTAACTTCACAGAAAGGAGAGAGAGAAAAAAACACATATTACCAATATTCTTTGATTGAATTGAATTGAAGTAATTATCAACTCATTGTAAATATGTCAACAATAATGTCCACAAGATGGACGTTTTTACCAGCCATTGCTAGCAATGTTTACATTACCTTATTCTTATGAAGATCAGGATTAACTATATAAGTGACACACTTCCTTACGTCTATGTTAAATAATCAAAAGTTTATTTTCCTTAATTTGACATGTTTGGACTAGGTTATATGCTGTTTGTTAAGTGCTTTCATTATTTTGTTTATAAATAAGTTTGCATTCTATTTTTGTATCATTTGTATGTACATATATATATATAGATATACTGGTATATATTATGTATATAAATTTAAACATTCCTGATATTTGTAAACATGTATGATATTAAAAAAAGAAATAAGAAAACATCTTGTATTAATTCTGTCCCTAGATTTACAGATAAAGTCATATGATGGATTGGTGTTAAACATCTAGTGGCAAATATTACATGTAATCAGGATAGGAACATGAACCATGCATTGTAATAGGCCATATAATCAAAATCTTTCAGCATTCAAAATTGCTGTTGTAGACAATTTTACAACACCACAGATATTACTTGTTTTTGGTAATACATTTGTATTTTTGCATTGATGGACATCCACAACCAAATTCAATGAATGTATGGAAGAAATTTGTGTTTTGTTATGAATGTCCTTATATTATACTTAACAGATATTTACTATAAATATGACGAAATCTTGCAAAGTTGCAATTTTGAGACATCTTAGTATTTGGAATTTGGTTACATGTTCAGCAATGCAACATCCATGTATTATGGGTTGGGATCAGAAAAGTTACGAGATATTTCAAAAGATGCTGCACCTTTATGTCAAATAACTAAAGCCTGTATCAAAGGATAAAAACAGTTCTTGCTGGACAAGAAAATGTCCTAAAAATGTGTTTAACATAAGGCTCTAGGTCATGGCTATATGCAATACAATGTCTTATGACAACACTCAATCATGTTAATGTCAAAAGATATAATAGTTTGACCTTGGCAAGTTGTTTTGTACGAGAACCACAAGAAGAACAGGGAACATAAAGACATCAGCACAAACTGCTGAAAAACAGCCTTCGTTGTACAGGGCCTCTCTGAATTAAAAGAGGATGGTCTATAATTTAATATAGTTTTATAAGGTTCTCTCACTGGAGACAAGTTTTTTATAGTTGGTTGACCGTTATGGAATATCACTTGAAGACAAGTTTTTTTAGAAGAGTTGGTTGACCGTTATGGAATATCACAAATGAAGACTGAGGTGTTCTAATTGTAACCATCCTGTCTTCTTTTCTTGTATGAATCACTGAATAAAACTTCTCACAGAGTTTGTACTTACATTAGCAACACGGCTGGTGTTGCATGTGGAGCAGGATCTGCTTACCCTTCCAGAGTACCTGAGATAACCCCCAGTTTATGGTTGGGTTCATTTAGCTCTGTCTTTAGTTTTCTATGTTGTGTTTTGTATACTGTTGTTTGTCTTTTTCCATGATGTTGTCATATGTGGTTGAATACCCCTTTGGTATCTTGTGCCTCTCTTTTATAAAACAATAGAAAGCAGATTAACACCCAGAACATGATAAAGCAAACACTGGTTTATCAAATAAATAAGTAAGATTGGATCAATTGTTTATTTTCAATCCATAAACATGATATTCAGTATCACAGATTTACACAGATTTAAATGAAGTATGTTACCACTACATTATACAAAACAAAAACATAAGCTTAAAAGTTTACTGACTCTCACAGAAAAATAACAAACATAAAACATTCTCAGCAGAGTCAAACTTAAAAACATTTACTCTCTTATAAGCATAGGCCAGTATTTTATTCAGTCAGTTTCATACATCAAAAATAGGAATACTTTCTAATCAAATAGTAACCTGCACAAATGAATGCATTAAGGACACTTTATATGGATAATTGTGAACAAAAGAGTACGTGTACTGTAACCTTTATTAAGACGAGGTTGGTTGTTGATAACAGCACAGGTGTCATGGTTTTGGATACAGCATATTAAAAATGATGTAATCCCCCACCCAGATGTTACCCTGCTTTTTACAAGGAACTGTATACTACAATTGACCATCAAATAGCCAGACAATTTTGTTGCTGAGGTAGTCTCATAATCAAGTGTTGTTAAAAATTAAATAAAGATTACCAGATTCCATAGTTTAAAAAAAAGGAATTCCTTACTCTTTATTAGAACACTGAGTACACTGAAAAGACTATTCCATATTTTAATTAGAATCCTATCTTGCAGGGTTGAGTAATTTTTAAGATAAAATTAAACTTATTGTCAGGCCAGCTACAGAAACAAAAAGTTCCATAACTCCGAAAAGACAAATGAATTGGAACAGGAATCAACCTACTGGTACATTAATTAACATCTTGTGAAATAATATTTCATAAATCTATTGTAAGTTATACAAAATTGTAAGCCATTTGTACAAATTATGGAACAAGAGTGCACACACTGAAATGTCTCGCCTGCTTTACTGATCATTGATTTTATGTTGATAGTCCTAAATATAAAAACTTTACTACAAGTATCACATAAACTTACCATGATCCAAGAAAATGAGGTCAAGGTCAGTCATTCCATACACCAAACATAGTTGACCTATTGCTTCTAGTTTCTAAGAAAAAACTTAACATTGACAAATGAACCATGAAAATGAGGTCAAGGTCAAATAAAACCTGTCAGACTGACATGTACATTGTAAAATATTTCCATACACCAAATATAGTTGACCTATTGCATATAGTATTAGAAAAAAAAGATCAAAACACAAAAACTTAACTTTAACCACTGAACCATGAAAATGAGGTCAAGGTCAGATGACACCTGCCAGTTGGACATGTACACCTTACAATCATTCCATACACCAAATATAGTAGTATCTGATATATGAACTTGACCACGAAAACTTAACCTTGTTCACTGATCCATGAAATGAGGTCAAGGTCAGATGAAAACTGTCTGACAGGCATGCGAACCTTGCAAGCCATGCACATACTAAATATAGTTATCCTATTACTCATAATAAGAGAAATTAGCATTACAAAAAATATTAACTGTTTTTTCAAGTAGTCACTGAACCATGAAAATGAGGTCAAGGACAAAGGACATACGACAGACAGAATTTCATAACATAAGGCATCTATATACAAAGTATGAAGCATCCAGGTCTTCAACCTTCTAAAATATAAAGCTTTTAAGTAGTTAATGCCGTTGAGGCCGAATCACTATCCCTATGTCAAGCTTTCTGCGACAGAAGTCGCAGGCGCAACAAAAATGCAATTTTTTTCATGATCAAGATCTGAAACCACATTCATAAGGAATCATATTTTCATAAATGCTATTTCTTCAATAACTAAAATATAAAATATGACAATTATACAACAATACATTTTTAGTCTTATTAAGGGCCTTTTTAACACTAGACATTTGTCAATAAAATGTAAGTAAAACTAGTAATAATTTAGATGCACCAAAGATAGTTTTATCAAGGTAGACTGATAATATTATAATTTTCTTAAAACTTCATACTTAAATTTTTTAACTGTTTAATATTTGTATTTATTTTTTATGTCCTTAAGACAATTATACCAAAACATAAATAACAAAACCTCGTTAACATTACCAAGCAGTTTGACAAGGAAAGATAAAAATCCTTTTGTTCTATAGAACTGCATATTAGAAGACTTTTTCCTTAACAATGCTAGTAGATTGCTATAAAGTGAGTTATCTCCCCCTTGTTGTTTCTATATACATTCAATTCCATACATGTACATTTTATAAAAACTTATTGTTTCTTGTCCAGTTTTAACATCTGATTGGTGTTATTTTGTTACAATCCTTTTTTATTATTACCTTATGTTTAAGACAGTATGAGATAGGTTTACAACATGACTTCACAATGAAGGTAAAGTTGCATAAGTTCTAGAAAATTTACAATCACAGGTTGGCACTAGCCTCATTCTGAATCACTTGACCCATGTTCCTGGTTGACTCGGCTGACTGATGCTCGTCCTGAAATAATACAAATAAAAAGTTGGCATTTTTATTGGATATATATGAAAAGAATTTGCCTCATATTGCCTCCTTTTGGGATCTTCCCATTTAATTACCAATGTGAGCAAAAGACAAACTTATTAGATATTTTACAACAGGGTGCCTTTATATGAATCATACATCTTTTTAGCAAAGTTCAAAAAACGATATACAAAAGGGCAGTTTTTGCTTTATTACTTTTTTGCACTATAGTTACAACCTTTTTTAATTTAGCAATAGAATCTTGATGAGTTGTTCTGGCATTATCATATCTTGCACCTTGTAAGACATTTTCTTTTTTTTCCTTTTTTGTTGTTCTTTTTTCATTTAAAGCAACCATTTTTTTTTATAGATACATTAAATAATTCTTCACCTTTACAGGATTTAGATGTTCATAACTATTTTTTTCTTTCTTATAAAGATCATTTTGAATTTGCATGTGCTTTTCAAATTTGCCAGATTTCCTGATTTTGATAGTTTTTGCCCTAAAATATGTCTTCACATAGTTTGGTTTTTTCCTAATTTCCTGATTGTGTCACTTTTTGGGACTTTAATCCAATGTTAATGTGTTTTCTGCACAGATGAAGCTGTTTAGCTATTCCATGATTACCTTTGAGACAGTATAATTAATAGCATGGTGATGTGCAGGATTTATTTTAAAATTTTCACTGTAGCAATATACAGTACAGTTTCATATACATCATACTGTATCTTCATAACCATACAGTTTTATTTTTAATATCATTTGGATAAAAGAAGACAGTACAAGAATAAAATGCTCCGCAGGGCGCAGCTTGATACGACCGCAGAGGTCGAACCCTGAACAGTTGGGGCAAGTATGGACACAACATTCAAGCTTGATACAGCTCTGAATTTGGATTGTGATTAAATATTTGACACAGCATAGGTTTCTGACACAGAACGAATGTGGTCTAAGAACTTAAAAATTTTAAATTGGACATTCACCTATTATGGTCCAATATCCAAAATCTAAATACATGGTTAGATTCAGCATATCAAAGAACCCCAAGAATTCAATTTTTGATGAAATCAAACAAAGTTTAATTTTGGACCCTTTTGATCTCAATGTGGACAAAAATGATAACAGGGCCCAAAAATCAAAAATCTAAATACATGGTTAGATTCAGCATATCAAAGAACCCCATATATTCAATTTTTGTTGAAATCAAACAAAGTTTAATTTTGGACCCCGATTTGGACCAACTTGAAAACTGGGCCCATAATCAAAAATCTAAATACATGTTTAGATTCAGCATATCAAAGAACCCTAAAAATTCATTTTTTGTTAAAATCAAACTAAGTTTTATTTTGGACCCTTTGGACCTTTATGTAGACCAATTTGAAAACGGAACCAAAAATTAAGAATCTAAATACACGGTTAGATTCGGCATATCAAAGAACCCCAATAATTCAATTTTTGATGAAATCAAACAAAGTTAAATTTTGGACCCTTTGGACTTCAATGTGGACCAATTTAAAAACGAGGCCCAAAATCCAAAAACTTAATACACGGTTAGATTCAGCATATTACAGACCCCATATATTCAATTTTTGTTGAAATCAAACAAAGTTTAATTTTGGACCCCGATTTGGACCAACTTGAAAACTGGGCCCATAATCAAAAAATCTAAATACATGGTTAGATTCAGCATATCAAAAAACCCCATATATTCAATTTTTGTTGAAATCAAACAAAGTTTAATTTTGGACCCCGATTTGGACCAACTTGAAAACTGGGCCCATAATCAAAAATCTAAATACATGGTTAGATTCAGCATATCAAAGAACCCCATATATTCAATTTTTGATGAAATCAAACAAAGTTTAATTTTGGACCCTTTTGATCTCAATGTGGACAAAGTTGATAACGGGGCCCAACAATCAAAAATCTAAATACATGGTTAGATTCAGCATATCAAAGAACCCCATATATTCAATTTTTGTTGAAATCAAACAAAGTTTAATTTTGGACCCCGATTTGGACCAACTTGAAAACTGGGCCCATAATCAAAAATCTAAATACATGGTTAGATTCAGCATATCAAAGAACCCCATATATTCAATTTTTGATGAAATCAAACAAAGTTTAATTTTGGACCCTTTTGATCTCAATGTGGACAAAGTTGATAACGGGGCCCAACAATCAAAAATCTAAATACATGGTTAGATTCAGCATATCAAAGAACCCCATATATTCAATTTTTGTTGAAATCAAACAAAGTTTAATTTTGGACCCCGATTTGGACCAACTTGAAAACTGGGCCCATAATCAAAAATCTAAATACATGGATAGATTCAGCATATCAAAGAACCCCATATATTCAATTTTTGTTGAAATCAAACTAAGTTTAATTTTGGACCCTTTGGACCTTTATGTAGACCAATTTGAAAACAGAACCAAAAATTAAGAATCTAAATACACAGTTAGATTCGGCATATCAAAGAACCCCAATAATTCAATTTTTGATGAAATCAAACAAAGTTAAATTTTGGACCCTTTGGACTTCAATGTGGACCAATTTAAAAACGAGGCCCAAAATCCAAAAACTTAATACACGGTTTGATTCAGCATATTACAGACCCCATATATTCAATTTTTGTTGAAATCAAACAAAGTTTAATTTTGGACCCCGATTTGGACCAACTTGAAAACTGGGCCCATAATCAAAAATCTAAATACATGGTTAGATTCAGCATATCAAAAAACCCCATATATTCAATTTTTGTTGAAATCAAACAAAGTTTAATTTTGGACCCCGATTTGGACCAACTTGAAAACTGGGCCCATAATCAAAAATCTAAATACATGGTTAGATTCAGCATATCAAAGAACCCCATATATTCAATTTTTGATGAAATCAAACAAAGTTTAATTTTGGACCCTTTTGATCTCAATGTGGACAAAGTTGATAACGGGGCCCAACAATCAAAAATCTAAATACATGGTTAGATTCAGCATATCAAAGAACCCCATATATTCAATTTTTGTTGAAATCAAACAAAGTTTAATTTTGGACCCCGATTTGGACCAACTTGAAAACTGGGCCCATAATCAAAAATCTAAATACATGGTTAGATTCAGCATATCAAAGAACCCCATATATTCAATTTTTGATGAAATCAAACAAAGTTTAATTTTGGACCCTTTTGATATCAATGTGGACAAAGTTGATAACGGGGCCCAACAATCAAAAATCTAAATACATGGTTAGATTCAGCATATCAAAGAACCCCATATATTCAATTTTTGTTGAAATCAAACAAAGTTTAATTTTGGACCCCGATTTGGACCAACTTGAAAACTGGGCCCATAATCAAAAATCTAAATACATGGATAGATTCAGCATATCAAAGAACCCCATATATTCAATTTTTGTTGAAATCAAACTAAGTTTAATTTTGGACCCTTTGGACCTTTATGTAGACCAATTTGAAAACAGAACCAAAAATTAAGAATCTAAATACACGGTTAGATTCGGCATATCAAAGAACCCCAATAATTCAATTTTTGATGAAATCAAACAAAGTTAAATTTTGGACCCTTTGGACCTCAATGTGGATCAATTTAAAAATGGGGCCCAAAATCCAAAAACTTAATACACGGTTAGATTCAGCATATTAAAGAACCCCAAGAATTCAAGAATAAAACCCCATTGAAATTGATCAAGAAATAAGCAATTTATACGAAGTATCTTCTTTTGCACAATACTGTGCAATTGATTATTTCTTGCTATTGCGCAATACTGTACAATTGACAATTTCTTGCTATTGCGCAATATTGTGCTATTGGATATTTCTTGCTATTGCGCAATACTGTGCAATTGAAGATTTCTTGCTATTGCGCAATACTGTGCAATTGAAGATTTCTTGCTATTGTGCAATGCTGTGCAATTGAAAATTTCTTGCTATTGCACAATACTTATTATATAATAATTTACACATCCTGTTTGGTGTGTATCTCCTACCATATCATTATTATTTGCTTTTAAATATAAATCAGAAATAACCAACTTAAAATTTTAAATTTTAAAAGAAAAAAAAAAGAAAAAAAAAAATCCCCCCCCAAAATTTTTTGAACCCCCTTATGATTCATCACCCCCAAACTCAATCTCAGCCTTCCCTTTGTGGTATGGTACCTTGCAGTACAATTTCAGAGAGATCCATACACTTGAACACAAGTTATTGTCTGGAAACTAGAAAAATGCTTATTTTTGGCCCCTTTTTGGCCCCCAATTCCTAAACGTTTCGGGCAATTACCCCCAAACTCAATTCCAGCTTTCCCTTTGTGATATGGAACCTTGTAGTACAATTTCAGAAATATCCAAACACTTACACACAAGTTATTGTCATGAAACTAGAAAAATGCTTGTTTTTTGCCCCTTTTTTGGCCCCTAATTCCTAACATTTTGAGGCAATTACCCCCAAAATCAATTACAGCCTTCCCTTTGTGATATGGAACCTTGTGGTACAATGTCAGAGAGATCCATACACTTACACACAAGTTATTGTCTGGAAGTTACAAAAAAGCTTATTTTTGGCCCCTTTTTGGCCCCTAATTCCTTAACTGTTGGTACCATAACCCCCAAAATCAATCCCAACCTTCCTTTCGTGGTATTGAACCTTATGGTAAAATTTCATGGAGATCCATTCACTTAAACTTAAGTTAGAGTGCGAAAACCAATGTGTCTTCGGACGACGCCAGACAACGACGACGACGACGACGACGACGACGCCAACGTCATACCAATATACGACCAAAAAATTTTTAATTTTTGCGGTCGTATAAAAATGAAAGCAGCAGAAAAACAAACCTAACTTTACCTATTTTTACATACCTGCCCTGATCTGGTTAAGTGAAGCCAGCACACGTAACATAAAAGCGGCAGGGACTGTGATGGTGTCTCTTGTTTCTTCTAACATTATCTCATTACGAGACATAATCTAAAATATCAATGAGAATAATCAAAATCAATGATTTCTATTTCAAATAAAACATATTATAACATTTCACAAGGTTGGTAAAGACTGTCTTGGGGTTAATATAGACAAGAGACATTTGCCAATCCCCTTCTATATTATAGTTTGACAATTCAGGTAACTTTATCTTGAGTAAACATGACATGTGTCACTCATGGAGCAGGAATTCCTAACTGTTCTAGAGCTTCTAAATTCAATTCTAAGTTTCAGAATAATTAAAATACTCAATATTTATTTGTCTGTTTAGTATCATGTACAAACTTGAATGCTGAAATCAAGTATAAAAAAAAATACCATTTTGTTAAAATTTCTATTTCACTTTGTTTTAGGGCTGTCATTGAAACATTTGCTATGTTTAAAGTAAAATATTAAGATAGAGAAAATATTGTAAGAAATCATGTTACCTCGTTTGCTACCTCTTCCTGAAAATTAGGACTTTCATCTAATGGAGACCAGATCTTTATATCATAATCTATACCACTGGATGCTAGAACTAAAACAAAATAAACATATCTAGAATAATTCATTTAAAAGACTTAACAAAAATACAGAAATTACCAAAACTAATTTGCAAAACAGCAGATTACACCAACACCCATCCAACAACAATGAAAAACACATGATCTATTTGTGTAAGTATAAAGGATGGTTAACATAATGTTTCAATCTTTTGCTTGAGGGAATTGAAACCTCAGTTTTAATGAATAATATATCATTGTGACAATCTATCATGATGAAACTAATATGTCATGTCTATGCTGAAGAATGATCAGCTTTATCATGATCAGCTTTATCATGATCAGCTTTATCACGATCAGCTTTATCACGATCAGCTTTGTCATGATCAAAGATTTGGTCATATAAAGTTACTCAAACTTGACTGAATCATTTATTTTGACCAGAAATTGGGTTGTACTCACTTGGATCATATGGGTGAGGCTGTAAGCAGTTGACAACATGTCTGTCTCCCTCCAGAAGCATCACTAGTCTGGCTGTATGTCTGTCCCAGATAAATATGTGGCCACAATCTGAGCCACTCATTACATAACCATCTCCCCAGAAATTAGCTTCCTTTATCTATAAACAGAATAAGCATGATTACAAATTAAAAGTTCTTTTGTCTTTAAATTTCTGTTTGTTCGATGCATTTCAAAACTAAATTCTGAAGTCTGAATGAAAAAAAAGAAAATATAAATTAACTTTGATGTGTCAAGTTCAAGTACAAAAAAATTTGGAAGGAAAGAAAAACTTCTAGTTGAAATACTGATTGACAAATTGACATTGTATGTTTTATTGTGAATGAAATTAGATTCTTTAACTAATAATAGTAAGTCATTCAGCTGTTTTTATAACAATGAAAATGACATGTAAAACTTGCTTCATGTCGACTTCTTTGATGATTGATGATGTGGAAGATTATGTTTGCAGAATACATGTAACCTGATATGATTAAAGAGAAAATTAATAAATCCAAGCTAAGATAACAAAATCATTAAAATCATAATTAAACTGATAAGAGTTATGTAAAAATATTATCTCTCGACCTAAACAGAAAGCGGTGAACAACTACATCCATAAAAAATATTATCTCTCGACCTAAACAGAAAGCGGTGAACAACTACATCAATAAAAAATATATGTCCTAGGAACTGTTTATTTTTTCTCATGTTTAAGAATTTTTTTTAATACTAAATAGAAGATTTCAACCTAGAAAAAAATCAAAAAGTTATTTTGGGTTCCTTCCACTTTAGACTTATCAAGATTGACTGTACTCCAGTTTATAATATTTTACCATGGTTCTAGCATTTCTGTGACCTTTAAACTTCATTTTAAATGAAGGTTGATAGATATTTCTCATCTCCATTTCTTCTTTTTCCTTCTCTTCTTGTCTTTTTCTGTAAAGTTCTTGCAGTTTTATAGCTGTTATGTGTCTTTCTAAGCTGAAATAGAAAAGGTGCATATCATTTTGGATTGTTTAAACAAATATCATCAAACATTCACAAAATTTATCATCTATACAAATATTATATATAGAGGGGTCAGGTGTTGGATATTTAATGTCGTCAGTTGTATTGTCCAATTAGATTTTTGTTAATTCCTTTTCTCCTTTTTATGTATTATATATTTTTTTTCATTTGAATTCAGTCGGAAGTGCATTTTGGAAATGGCAATTTTATACTGTTCCCTCAGCAGGATTCAAACTGAAGCTGTTGAGGTTTTTTGAAGGCAACACTACCCAGTGTATGATTACAGCCTATATAAATCTAACATAAACAGTCATTCAGTGAAGGCAACACTACCCAGTGTATGATTACAGCCTATATAAATCTAACATAAACAGTCATTCAGTGAAGGCAACACTATCCAGTGTATGATTACATCCTATATAAATCTAACATAAACAGTCATGCAGTGAAGGCAACACTACCCAGTGTATGATTACAGCCTATATAAATCTAACATGAACAGTCATTCAGTGAAGGCAACACTACCTAGTGTATGATTACAGCCTATATAAACCTAACATAAACAGTCATTCAGTGAAGGCAACACAATCCATTGTATGATTACAGCCTATATAAACCTAACATAAACAGTCATTCAGTGAAGGCAACACTACCCAGTGTATGATTACAGCCTATATAAATCTAACATAAACAGTCATTCAGTGAAGGCAACACTACCCAGTGTATGATTACAGCCTATATAAATCTAACATAAACAGTCATGCAGTGAAGGCAACACTACTCAGTGTATGATTACAGCCTATATAAATCTAACATAAACAGTCATTCAGTGAAGGCAACAATACCCAGTGTATGATTACAACCTATATAAATCTAACATAAACAGTCATGCAGTGAAGGCAACACTACCCAGTGTATGATTACAGCCTATATAAATCTAACATAAACAGTCATTCAATGAAGGCAACACTACCCAGTGTATGATTACATCCTATATAAATCTAACATAAACAGTCATTCAGTGAAGGCAACACTACCCAGTGTATGATTACAGCCTATATAAATCTAACATAAACAGTCATGCAGTGAAGGCAACACTACCCAGTGTATGATTACAGACTATATAAATCTAACATAAACAGTCATTCAGTGAAGGCAACACTACCCAGTGTATGATTACAGCCTATATAAATCTAACATAAACAGTCATTCAGTGAAGGCAACACTACCCAGTGTATGATTACAGCCTATATAAATCTAACATAAACAGTCATTCAGTGAAGGCAACACTACCCAGTGTATGATTACATCCTATATAAATCTAACATAAACAGTCATTCAGTGAAGGCAACACTACCCAGTGTATGATTACAGCCTATATAAATCTAACATAAACAGTCATTCAGTGAAGGCAACACTATCCAGTGTATGATTACAGCCTATATAAATCTAACATAAACAGTCATTCAGAAAATGACCAAATCAAGATAACTTTTGCCAACTTTTCTATTAACCAGGATAATTCAGTTGTTATATCCCACTGTTCTATACACTGCTACTTTTGCATAGGTACTATTTCTGTACTTAAAATCTGTAGTACTGGAAATTTACTTTTAATATAAAGTACTATTTCTTTACTTTAAAATCATTGTAATATTTAGGTACCTGTATTTTACCCTTTATTTACCTGTTAGAGGGTCTGTTATCTCCTGCATCATCTTGTTCATCACCACTATTGTCAACCTCCAATCTTATCTATATGTCCCCTGTGGAGAACCCCTTTACCCTTTATTTACCTGTTAAGAGGGTCTGTTATCTCCTGCATCATCTTGTTCATCACCACTATTGTCAACCTCCAATCTTATCTATATGTCCCCTGAGGAGAACCCCTTTACCCTTTATTTACCTGTTAGAGGGTCTGTTATCTCCTGCATCATCTTGTTCATCACCACTATTGTCAACCTCCAATCTTATCTATATGTCCCCTGTGGAGAACCCCTTTACCCTTTATTTACCTCTTAGAGGGTCTGTTATCTCCTGCATCATCTTGTTCATCACCACTATTGTCAACCTCCAATCTTATCTATATGTCCCCTGTGGAGAACCCCTTTACCCTTTATTTACCTGTTAGAGGGTCTGTTATCTCCTGCATCATCTTGTTCATCACCACTATTGTCAACCTCCAATCTTATCTATATGTCCCCTGTGGAGAACCCCTTTACCCTTTATTTACCTGTTAGAGGGTCTGTTATCTCCTGCATCATCTTGTTCATCACCACTATTGTCAACCTCCAATCTTATCTATATGTCCCCTGTGGAGAACCCCTTTACCCTTTATTTACCTGTTAGAGGGTCTGTTATCTCCTGCATCATCTTGTTCATCACCACTATTGTCAACCTCCAATCCTAACTGTATGTCTCCCATGGAGGGACCACTCCTCCCAATCCTTCTCTGTCTAGGTACAGGTGGTGGAGGTGGAGCATCAACATCCATTCCCGGTTCTGGTAAATGGAAAAGACACAGCACATTTATATTAATGTAAGGACATAGTCATAAGTATAAGGGGAGATAATATCATACACATGTAGTTTTGCTATGCTTTCTATAAAAGAATGGTTTTGAAAATGATTTAGGTTATGTCATGTAAAATTGGCAACAGGTTTTTAATCAAATATTTTTAAACTATCAAGCCCATTTATTTGAGATGACATTTTTCAATTAGCTGAAACTAAATTTTCTTCCAAAAAAAACACTACTGTTGTACCTTTTATTGTGATTGTACTGTATAATCCTGGCCTTCACACCATCCTAAGCATTTTTCAATGGTGGAATCTTGATGAAATTAAAACTTATGATAAAACAAACAAAACTATAACTGACCTGTACCTGCACCTTCTGTCCTGTTAGAATTTGGTCTTATATGTAAATGAGAGATAGGTGATGACATAGGTGGTGTTTCTGATAATCTCTCATCTATTTCTGATGACCTTTCACCAATTTCTGATGACCCTTCACCCCTATTGGGTGATGATCTTTCACTTTCATTTGTATTTTGAACAGTCTCTATCTGTTGTGTATCACAGTTAGGAGTTTCGGTTGAATCAGACTGACTAGAAATTTCTCCACTATTTTGAGTATCAAGATTTTGTCTATTTTCTGAACTATCAGGTTCTTCATCTTGTAAAATATTTGAGGCAGTATTTATCTCCCCTTGTTCTAAATCTGAATCATGAGAATCTATGTCTTGCTGAAGCTCAATAGCTTCATGTGACACATTATTGTCTGAAACATTAAACAGATCTTGATTTTGTACAGGATCTGTTACTAAAGGAGACAATGAGGCATTTTCAGCACTTCTCTGAAGAATTCCAGCCTCTAAATTCTCAAACCTTGCAAAACCTAGTCGTATTGTACTACTGGTAGTCCCTTCTGTAGAATAATGTAAACTTATCACAGGTTCCAGTTGACCTGCTTCCCTGTCTGCATCAGGGTCACTATTGGGATCATGTGAAGTTTGTATAGGATTTGTATCACTATGGTTGCTATGGCTACTAGAGTCATGTGAATCACTATGGTTACTATTATCACAGTCATGAGTATTATTGTCAGTAGGACCATGATCTGGCTTAGAATCCTGGCCACGAGATAAATCTGAATCAACTGGTTCTAAAGGAACGTCAGATGTAGGCTGCTCATCATTATTTGTATTTCCTACTTCCATGTCAGCTGACCCTGAAATGTTTGTTGAATATGTTATGGATGAATTTTATACAACCAATTTCCACTGAATTGCAAATAAATATCTTATGCAGACAAAAAACATTACTAAAAATTGTGAACAAATTATCTGGCAACAATTACTAAAAGCAAATTCCAATTAATGTTCCTTGAAATAAAATGTGTGAGTCTTTTAACAAAGAGGTGAGCGCCTGCTTTCTAAATAGAAGAAGCAAAATGTCAAAGTCAATGTTTTGATAAAGGAAACACAAAATATTACCAAGAAAAGAAAAAAAATTAACAAGTGGTCAAATTCATGACATAAAGAAGAATTTGTGCAAGTTTGGGTTGGGCTTTGTCAAACCATTTTGAAGGACTTAATAAGCAGACAATGACATAAGTGATCCTTTGTGTCTGAAGCCGACATAAAAGCAAGACGATTATAGTAGTGAAATATTTCAAACATTTCTGAGAAATAAACTGAAATGTAAAATATTACTGTCAATCAAATGTGAAATAGGCCATTTTAACCAAATTGTCAAATATGAATTGCTCTACTATACTGAGTTCTTGTGAAATCACCAAAAGCATTTAACTGTCTCAAATATGAGTAACCTCCTCACTTCAAAATCTGAATCAGGATTTTCCCCTGCCACCTTTCTGATCTGTCTAAATCATAGAGAAGTAATTACAGGTTGCACTTTGCAAATACAGCTGTTTCACAAACCACGCCTCTTTAGGAGAGATGTACAATATTCATAGTTATTTTGTTTTGTAAACCTACTGGTTCCCAGATATGATCTCTATGTTTCATATCATAGAGACACAACTTGGGAATTTTACCAGTATAAATATACATGGATAGCGGCCAAATTGAATTCTGAGAAAGACCCAAAGTGAAGGGAGAGGAAGTACAGATTTTGAGTTTAAGTGTAAACTCTTAGAAGTTCGAGGCATATAAATATTGAAAATATGCTGCATAGCCCTATGTTTTAACCTTTGAAAAAAATAGTAGTGCATATGAACTTTCCAGTCTAGGATATCATTTTTTACAAACCCTCATAGTAAAAGGGTTAGGGTTAGGGTAAAAGTGGCACAGTTTTAGCCGTAAAAGGAGTTCCTATGGGAAATTGCATTGTCTATATTTACAGAAATTGTTTAATCAATGTTACTTGTATTTCCTCTAATATACAAATATAAATTACTCAAAATCTTTTAAAGCTGAGAATACAGTATTGAATTTGCTAATGGTTGAATTTCACATAATTTTTTGTCATGTTTGTCTCAATATATATATTTTTTCCATTTTCAGTTTCTAGTAATAATTTTTTGTCATGTTTGTCTCAGTATACATATTTTCTCTATTTCCAGTAAATCTTGATAATTTTTAAAAAGAATGTTCCGAGACTCACTTCACATCAACCATACCATAGAAATTCCTACCAGATGTTGACGGCATATTTTGCCATCCTGAAACAACTCCATCCATCTCAACACTTCCTTCAACTGCTGATGCATCTTGGGAAACATCAAAGATGGCATTCTCATTGTTTGAATCCTGTGGTGATGCCTGGCCTTCTGTTCTTTCCCCTTCATTAGAATTATTAGTTCTCCTCAGATTTCCATCCAACCATCTTGTCAACATATCAGACATTCTCTGCATTAATGGTCTGTGTCTGCCTGTAAGACAAATCAAAGCACGGTGAGTGCTGACAATCATGTAATAAAAATACAAATTTGGAAGAGAACAAATCAATGGATCTTGTAGTTCAAGAATTTTTATACCTAAAAAATTAAAATTTTCAAACATTTGATCATTGTCATATTTCAAAACTACAACCAAAGTATTACAACATTAAGCTTGGTCCAAAAGCTCCATATATATCAAGGAAATAGTGGTAGTTAATTTGGATTTTTTAGTTAAAAGAGCACATGAAATTTATGGAAACTGTACATGTTTCCTTACAAAAAGATAAGATTTCACAGAATTCTATTATAAAACAATCCATGAATTTTGTAAAATACCTTCAGAATTCCTTTCAGACTCCGGTCTTGCATTGGGTCCAGTATCAGACCAATCTCCTCTCATTCTTAGTCGTTTGAATGGAGGTTGTCTTGACATTTCTGGCTGGTCCTCTGGGAAACCCTCAGACAATGGAGTCTGTGAATATCCTTCTTCCTCAGCACCAACAGTCTGAGACATCTGTAAGGAGAATGCTGCTCCTAGTGTGGAGGATGATGATGGCTGAGCTGTGGATGTGGATGGCTGAATGGTGGATGTGGATGGTTGGTTGATTGATGGGAAAGCTGCTAATCCACCAGAAGACTGGAAAGGAAGTTATTAATGGGACATTTTTATTACATTTTTCACTTATTTGAAATGAAGGACTGCTGAACCAACGCCTCTAAAGTTTCGTGTAGGTAGAGATTCCTTAAGTGGATACCGACGGTATGCAGGGTTGTCAAAAGAAAGAAAAAATCTAAAAGCCGCTAGATTGACACCAGGAAACATGGAGCAAAGAAGCACATAACTACAAAACACCAGGAGAAACCAACAACAGATTTAAATGAGAAAACAGCAACACCAAAAGCAGCAGCTGACCCAGTCGCCAAATGGGTTCCACCTGTAGAAGCATTAACCAAATATGAAATGACACCAAAATTCGGGATCGTGGCAGCGCCACCTAAATACACTGCCCCAACTCCAATCAAAATACAAGAGACACCAGAAATGCCATCCATGGATATACTTAAAGAAGATCTACAACTCAGTGATTCAGATGATTCAGATGATGATGTTATATATGTCAAAACAACAGGACCGCCAATATACAGCACTAACAGCTACGGTTATCTTGTCGAAGAAGTACCAACTTACCAGCCTACAACCTGTTACAAAACATACAAGGGACCAGTACAGAGTTCAAGCCAACAAACAGTATGCAGAGATGAACCCACAGAAAACAACTGGATGAGCCAAGTGACAGTCCGAGGAATATACAACATTTTCACCAGTGACAAACAGTAGATAAAAACATTTTAATTTTTAAATTATTTTATTTTATTATATATTTATTCTCAAAAAACTGTATAACTGTATTAACATATTCCATTTTCTTTCACTAAATACATTCAATACATAACCCATAACAACATGGACAATAATAGAACACTATGACGTAAAAAACTTGATGCCGCATTTTAGTACTTCAGAGAATACTTTTATTTGTACTTTGTCCTGATGACGCCGATCTAATCGGCGAAACATGTCGACTTAATAAATTTGCAGATTACTTAAGTGTTGTTGTCAATCTAGCGGCTTTTAGACTTATTTGAAATGTACATAGTGATTTTATTACATTATCATACAGCTTTGGTAATACAATGATACACTGACTACAAACTAAGTATATGACTTGTCGTTTACCGATTGAAATACACCTGTTATAGCTCATGAAGTGTTAATACCTCTTAGTTAACTAACCAAATTGTATATATTTAGGTAAATTGTTAAAGAATGAATAAACATCTTTTATAGCTTGCTTTAATTTATGAGCTTGGTTCATTGTTGAAGGTCATATGGTGAGCTGTAGTACAGTTATTTATATCCTTGTCCTTTGGTCTTTAGTGGATAGCTGTCTCCTGGACAATGATAGAACATTTCCTTATTTTCATATTAGAGGTAGCAATCCAACATCTCAACAAACACTTGACAGGTATAAAGCTTAGATTATCCTTTACATGTATTTACCTTTATATCACTGCCATGATCAATGGACCTTTCAGGTTTACTGAAAACTTTATCAAAATGTTTCACTTTTGAGTCCTGTAATACAAATAAGAAACATACAAAATAAATATTATACCTATTCCAAACAAGGCACAAATAAATTTATTCAAATAAAGTAAGAAGGCTTTCTGCTATTCCATATGAAAACTAATGAACAAAGAGATATTGGAATTATAGAAAGATGACAGTTTTGATTGGCATTTGTTTAGATGTGCAGGAATGGATGTATAAACACAAAGCCACCTCTGTTGGGGTGTTCAAATACAGGATCATGTCCTGTAACATAAATTGGAACTAAAATAACTTATAACTAGAGGCTCTAAAGAGCCTGTGTCGCTCACCTGCTTTTTCAACAATGGCCACTTTTTAGAAAAAATCATTATTAATCATCATTAAAGGAGAACAACTCTATTAAGAGTTAACTGAAAATTTCAATTATGTTGACATATTTGTAGATCTTATCCTGCTGATAATTGTTTCCTTTCTAAAGTTTCATTTTATTTATTTATTTTTTTTTATCAAAAAAGTGAAAAAATTATCATTAAAGGGCAATAACTCCAATAATAAGTCAACTGAAGATTTCGACCATAATGGCTTATTTGTAGATCTTGTCTTGCTGATCATTTGTGCTATTTAAATTTTCTATTATCCATAATAGTTTCCAAGATAATAGGCAAAAATGAGAAAAAATGTGAAAAATCATCATTAAAGGGCAATAACTTCAATAAAGAGTCGACTTACAATTTTAGTCATGTTTGACTTATTTGTTGATTGTATCTTGCTGATCATGTTTGCTTTTAAATTTTCTATTTATCTATTATAGTTTTTAAGATATTAGGCAAAAACACAAAAATTTGGAAAAATCATCATTAAACGGCAATAACTCTAAGGAGTCGTCTGATGATTTTGGTTATTGTTGACTTATATGTAGATATTGTCTTGCTGATCATTTTTACTGTTAAAAGTTTATGTGTATCTATTATAATTTTCAAGATAAAAGGGAAAAAAATTTGAAATGGTAAAATTCGTCATTTTTAAGGGCAATATTTGATTTTTGGTGTTTTAACGCCACTTTTAAGCACCACTTTTGGGCTATTTCGTGGCAGCCAGTTTTTATTGGCTGAGGAAGCTGGAGTGCCCAGAGAAAACCACTGACCTTCGATAGGAAAACTGACAATCCTAGTCAATTAAGATTGGAGTCAAGTGCACCCGCAAGAGCGGGGTTCGAACTCACAACCTCAGTGCTGACTGGCTAGTGATTACAGTAGTAACTACTTAGACCACTCGGCCACCAACGCCCCTTTAAGGGCAATAATGTACATGGACATTAGTTAGAGCTCAACATTCTGAACATTTTTGCTCCTGTCAGAATTTCTCCATTCATAGCAGTTTTCAAAATAATTAGCAAAACTTGCATTATACCCATATGTTCTATTAATATTTTGAGCCATGTCAGCCATCTTGGTTGGCAGGAGGAGTCATCAGACACATTTTTAAAACTAGATACCCCAATGATTATTGTGGCCAAGTTTGATTAAATTTGGCCCAGTAGTTTCAGAGAAGATTTTGTAAAAGTTAACGGACAATGACGGACGATGGACGCCAAGTTATGAGAAAAGCTCATTTGGCCTTTCCGCCAGGTGAGCTAAAACTGTAAGGTTTGGCATTTCCTAAAACCTAGTCCCACCAACCATTTTCATACTAAAATGTGGGTACCAAGTTCGAGTTGTAAAGTCAGTACCCAATTGAACTCATGAAGCTTTCTGAACATTCATAAATTCTTTATTGCACTCCTAGCTGTTTTAACAAAATACTTAATGTATAGCATTCCATCAAGTATCCCTGTTACACAAATTCATTACTGATATCCAGGGAGAATATACAGTAAAACTTGTTTTATTTTATACATAGTCATTCTAATACAGTTCTAATTTTTTTCCTATAATTACTTTATAAATAATCATAATACGTTATAAGATCTTATAAAAGTAAAGATGTTACACACGCTGTGTCGTGAAATTTACGGAGAATAATTGTTTGTTCTACCGTTATTGATTCTTTCAATATTATCTGTTACGATCTATTGAACATGTGAATATGTGAATGAGAGACAGCGTGGTTAACTGTTTCTGATACATTTCAATCTTAATTTGCCATACACTCTATGAAATATACACAAAAAAAATCAACATTGAAAACAAGTGAAACTACGAGCTACTGCTCACTGATGATACCCCCGCCCAAATATTTTGGTAAACAGGAAGTTGTTGAGAGATAAATCTGAAAATGCATCACAATGTATAGCTGACTTATAAAAATCCGGAAAACCAAATTTCAGAAATCCTTATGCAGTTCCTGAGAAAGATGCGACGAAAACTATTCATGGGACAGATGAACGGACTGACGGATGGACGGACAGACAGAGGTAAAACAGTATACCCCACTTTTTTTAAAGCGGGGGTATAATTAGTCCTTTTTTATTCACAAAAAAATGCGCTCCGCCTGGAGCAGCTGGATACGACCGCAGAGGTCGAACTCTGAACATTTGGGGCAAGTATGGACACAATATTCAAGCTTGATACAGCTCTGAATTTGGACAGTGATTAAATATTTGACACATTATAGATTTCTGACACAGAATAAATGTGGTCAGATAACTTAAAAATTTGAAATAGGACATTTAATCTACTTAATGGTCCAATATCCAAAATCTAATTCCATGGTTAGATTCAGCATATAAAAAAAAAGAACATGAATTCAAACGAAGTTTAGTTTTGGACCCTTTGGACCTTAATATGGACTAATTTGAAAACAGGGCCAAAAATTAAAAATCTGAATCCACAGTTAGATTCTGCATATCATAGAACCACAAGAATTCAGTTTTTGATGAAATCAAACAAAGTCTAATTTTGGACCCTTTGGACCTCAATGTAGATCCTATTTAAAAATGTCTAAATATCCAAAATAGTAATACATGGTAAAAACCTCAAACAATTCAAGACTTTAAATTAATCCTCATTGAAATTGGTTAAAAGATTTGTATTTATTTTCAATTGAAGATTTCTTGCTGTTGTGCAATACTTTGCTGTTGCGCAATACTTAGTAAATCTGTTTACAAACTAAATATAATAATTTACGCACCCTGTTTGGTGTGTATCTCCTGCCATATCAGTAGTTGTTGTTTCTTTATATAGATCAGAAATAATTTGTATTAGAACCAGCTTAGCCAGTATTAGAAAAGTCTTGTTTTTGGCCCCTATTTGGCCTCTAGTTTCTTAACCATTAAAGCCACAACCAACAAAATCATCCCAACCTTCTGTGTGTGGTATGGAACCTTGTGGTACAATTTCATAGAGATCCATTGACTAATACTTAAGTATTTGTCCGGAAACCAGAAAAACCTTGTTCCTCCCCCCTCCCCCCTTTTTTGGCCCCTTCCTTTTTTGCTATTGAACCTTGTGGTTAAATTTTCATAGAGATCCATTCAGTTATACTAAAGTTATTGTCCGGAAACCAAATGTCTTCGGACGACGATAATATGATGACGACAACATGATAGCAATATACGAACGCAAATTTTTTGCTGTTGTATAAAAATGAAAATAACATATTATATCTCATGTGTCCGAAGCGCTTTTCTTGATTTACTTTCATCAGGAACGCTCAACACCGAATATTTAAAAGCCAAGGGTGTATAAGGACTGAAAATGTTGAAAAGCTATAAACCAAAAAGTACCTAAAAATATAGCCAAATGGCCCATTATTTTTTTATTATAATAAATAAGCCAAAAAAAAAGCTTTACTACTCACCCTTTCATATATACATTTTATTCACCACATCTTAAAAGTTTTAACCTAATGCTATTTTTATATTCATATTGCTAAAACATAGTACTTACCTTTGTGCCAAACAGGTAAACATATTCTGATGAATAACTAACAAGTACATCTCCTCCATTAGGACTATAACTAAGGGAGGTAATCCTGTGTGATCTGCTGGCAAGGTTTGGTGCTGTAAAACTACATACCATTCCTGTTAGACCTCTTCCTGTGTAATGTCCTATTAATAGGTAATAAAACTTATCACTAAGGAGGGAACTCTGTATAAACTACAAACATTTTATTCCCTGTATGACCTCTGTCAAACATGCAATAACAAGAATGTGTCCATAGTACACTGATACCCCACACGCATTATCATTTTCTATGTTCAGTGGACAGTGAAATTGGGGGCAAAACTCTAATTTGGCATTAAAATTAGAAAGATCATATCATAGGTAACATGTATACTAAGTTTCAAGTTGATTGGACTTCAACTTCATCAAAAACTACCTTGACCAAAAACTTTAACCTGAAGCGGGACAGACGGATGGTCAGACGGACGAATGTACGGATGAACGAACGGAAGCACAGACGGAAAAACATAATACCCGTAGGTGGGGCATTAAATTGTCAATACGGGAGTTACGCAATGTGATCTACTAGTTGTTAATCTACAAATGATTCTAGTATGACTCTACCAGGGAAATTTTCCATAAATCTACAAGAAAATTTATCACTAAAGGAAAGAACACTTCGTGATTACCGACCGTAAAAATATACCTGTCAGGTCTACCTACCTGTGTAATATACATTAAATTTATAAATAAATATTATCAATGAAGGAGGTATGTGTTTGGAATCTACTGTGAAATAGTTGATAGAGTTTCTAATATTCATCCGTTAAATTTTCATAAGAGTAATTGTGACAAATTTTGTTCTCACCTGAAGATCTAGTTCCTAACATTCTTCTGTCAAATAATCTAACAGAGCTGTCAGAACAGCCTATTGCAAGTTGGTATTGCAACATAGGATTAACTGCCAATGAAGTAACTGCTCTTCTACAGTTGATTAATACATCCTACAATTGATAAACTTCTGTGATATATGTTTTGTGTAATGTACAAGATTTATATTACTCAGTAACACAGTCAGATTTTGTTTATTTTATGATATAGAGCAATATTTTATCTTTGAAAATTTAAGTGATGAAATACAAAATTTTTAAAGGCTTGTATATAGAATTTGTGAAACCACATAAAAATAATACCCATGAAAATACTATTTATTCCTTAATCCATAAAAATAATACCCATAAATACACTATTTATTCCTTAATCCATAAAAATAATACCCATAAATACACTATTTATTCCTTAATCCATAAAAATGCATACCCATGAAAATAAACCTGTCATAATTTGCTTTCTTCTTTATCATTACTGTAAAGGTTTAAAATGATGAAGTTGTATGCTTATTTCTAACCTTTCCTTCAGCTTTTTATCAGAAGAATAAAGTATAGGTGACAACTTACATGCATTTCACATTAAACAATAGAGATTTTTTCAATGCATGAAAATTAAGATAAAAAGTCTGTTTTTTTATTTGCTGAAATTAGATATATCTATACAAATGAGATGTATTTTAGCTATTTATGTAGAAATTAGATATATCTATACAAATGAGATGTGTTTTAGCTATTTGTGTAGAAATTAGATATATCTATACAAATGAGATGTGTTTTAGCTATTTGTGTAGAAATTAGATATATCTATACAAATGAGATGTGTTTTAGCTATTTGTGTAGAAATTAGATATATCTATACCAATGAGATGTGTTTTAGCTTTTCGTGTAGAAATTAGATATATCTATACAAATGAGATGTATGTTGGCTATTTGTGTAGAAATTAGATATATCTATACCAATGAGATGTGTTTTAGCTACATGTATTTGTGTAGAAATAAGATATACCTATACAAAGGAGATGTGTTTTAGCTATTTATGTAGAAATTAGATATATCTATACCAATGAGATGTGTTTTAGCTATTCATGTAGAAATTAGATATATCTATACCAATGATGTAGAAATTAAATATGTCTATACCAATGAGATGTGTTTTAGCTATTTATGTAGAAATTAGATATATCTATACAAATGAGATGTATTTTAGCTATTTATGTAGAAATTAGATATATCTATACCAATGAGATTTGTTATAGCTATTTATGTAGAAATTAGATATTTCTATACCAATGAGATGTGTTTTAGCTATTTATGTAGAAATTAGATATTTCTATACCAATGAGATGTGTTTTAGCTATTTATGTAGAAATTAGATATATCTATACCAATGAGATGTGTTTTAGCTATTCATGTAGAAATTAGATATATCTATACCAATGAGATGTGTTTTAGCTATTTATGTAGAAATTAGATATATCTATACCAATGAGATGTGTTTTAGCTATTTATGTAGAAATTAGATATATCTATACAAATGAGATGTGTTTTAGCTATGCGTGTAGAAATTAGATATATCCAAGTCTAAATTGAAAACAACGTTCAAACCTATGATTGCGTAGGATAAAAACCGCAATTTTTATACGTGTGCATGCAAAACAAATTTCTTGGTAGAGGGGTCTAAATACAGCACAAACAACATTTTCCAAAAGACCAAAAAAGTATATTTTAACAAAACGCATTTGACTAGCAGGTCGAACAACGGATGTTCTTAAACCCTGCTGACTGCCATTGGCAATTGCCAAATAAACGGATCACCAGATGTAACAAAATGGATCTTATTAATTAATTTAATACCAAACAGAATACAATAAACTTGCGGAAAAGATGGTACATGTATACCGCAAACAAGAGGTGCAAAAATTAGTACACCATATCCGGATTTCGACAATTAATGTCTCTTCAGTGATGTTAGGAATCGAAACGGTATTTGGAAGGCCATATAATTTACCTCAATTTAGGATAGACTCTTGAATTTTGAAGAGTCAAAATAGGATGAACGGATCATATAAACCCAAAGGCAAATATAATACAAGCCCAAACGAAAAAATATAAACAAGTCTAAATTGAAAACAACGTTCAAACCTATGATTGCGTTGGATAAAAACTGCAATTTTTGTACGTGTGCATGCAAAACAATTTTTTTGGTAGAAATTTGATATATCTATACCAATGAGATGTGTTTTAGCTATGTGTGTAGAAATTAGATATATCTATGCCAATGAGATGTGTTTTAGCTATGTGTGTAGAAATTAGATATATCCATACCAATTAGATGTGTTTTAGCTATTTACAAAAAAAATGTATGTAGAAATTAGATATAAATAAACAAATGAGATGTTTTTTAGCTATTTATGTAGTTGGTTTGTTGTCTAACCAATGCTGAATCTCTTTTTATTTAGGAAGCAAAAACTTGTATAGAACAAGGTTGATATCAGTTTTTTTAAATTTTTCATAGTTTGATGATTGCATACAGGGTGATATCTGTGATATCTAACTTTAGATAAGACAATCTTTTTAACATAGGACCTGTGCACTTGCTAAATCAAGCAAAAAAAAAGACATTTAAATATACTGCATGTGAGGCTAATTTGAAATACATCAAAATCAAAATATGAGTAAAGTAAAAAAATACTTGCATCTTTACAATCTTCTTTGAGACAGCTAGTTTTGATTCGTAAATCAAACCATCGAACAGTACCATCTTCTCCACAAGATAAAAACGTTGATGCTTCATTTGGAACCACAATTACCTGTAAATATATTGATTTCTGTTATAAAGCAAAGGTAATTCAATGGAATTTTCAGTACAGAAACAAGAGGTGTGAGACACTTTCATTAGAATTTGTTAAGTGATCATGGTGATTGTCTTAGGACAACAGCAATAAAAATCATTTAGAATTAAATAAAACTCCAATAGTGGCTGGCTGGGGTTTTATTAATTTGCCTCACACCTCACCCTTCCCTACAGATTAAATTCTGGACAGCTATAACTAGTACCTGCATTTCTATTTGAAAATTTGAAGATTTAAGTGACATCTATGTATGGTACCAGTGTAAAGTTTCATATCAAAATCAGATCCAAATGTATAGATTTTAGAGAATTTTTCAACAGGTTATTCATTAAAACATAAAAAAAATGTTAAATATTATTTTCATACAATAATTATGTTAAAAAGAGGAAGCACAAATATGATATAATTGACTTAAAGAAATTATTATCAAACTTATTACAAACCTCATAAGTTGTTCCAAAATGACAGTCAAATAAACTAGCCTCATGCTGATCATCTTGACCTACTTTTGTATAGTAAATCTTTCCATCACCAGAGCAACTTATTATCTACAAGCAAAACCTTTATCAAATAAATGCACTGTATTAACTAATTATGGTAATAATATGGCATAAACCATGAAATGAGTAGCTAGATCACCATCAAACTAACTTTTAACTTAATTTTCAAATGTTTAAAGAGGTTGGTATAATTGTTCATTTAATTTGTCATGTTTCATTTTTTTTTTCAGGAGGGATGTTATAGCTGTAGTTTGAAGTGTTTCACTGGTGAAGTTTTTGGATGATGCCCATCTAACACAAGGTTGTATGTATATGTGTTTTTTTCCATCTTATTATTATTTTTTTTTGGTCTTTTATTTTATTAGCATTGGCTTAATAAATAAAGACTTTTCTAAGTTTTGAGAAAATGGCATTTACAAACTTTCAAATAAAAAGGCATCACTGACCTGACTATCTCCAGTAAAAGGAAGGTATTTGGCGCTGAAAATATTTGCCCTGTGTCCGGATCTTATTGATGTAATTTTCTGTAAAATAATAAAATACTTGACATCATGAGTTCTGTTCCCTTAATACATACATGGTACACAGGGAAGATTTATTCAATAACCACCTATAAAGGCAATTTTCAAAAATCACTTCCATTTTCGATTGAGATGAATATCCTGTATGGTAAAGTCCAGTTTTCAAAAAATTTATTCATGCTGTCATGACGTGGTTGGCCATTACTGAAAATCTACCTAATGAATGACCGTAGATATGTTCACTTTGTCGTAGACACCAATCCCACCATCCTATTCTGTTTCCCAAGTTTATAACTTTTTTTCATTTTTACCATGATTTTGTCTGTCCTTTTTCAACTTGATATCCAATTATGTTTTTTTATTATGATTTTGTTACATGTATATATTACATGTATGGAATTAGGAAAATCGTTAGTGACCATATGATGGAAGGACATACTAAATACTATTAGGAAAATACATCATGGTCCTTTTTTAATATTAGGTCATGTGTTGCAATCAGTTATAAATGAAATAAAGAGAAAGGTGACTTAATAATATTTTTCAGTAGAATGTGCAATATTTTTTATTTTAAATGAAAAATGTTTAACTTGTGCTTCATTCAAAGAGTTGCCTCCCTCAATTGGGGATTTAGCAGTGGCAACTCTTTAAATACAGAAATGTTGTTCCTATTCCGATGATATACTTCTAAAAATGTTCAAATCAAAATTTTTAAAATATTCCAGAAAATTTGACTGTGGTTATGAAATGACAGTTTCAATGACTCTGACCTCCAACCATGTAATTGATGGCAGATTTCATCCAATCAAAAGACATAAATTGCAATCTATTATGTGATTATTTTACCTTCCTCTTAAATGGATCTGTAATAACTAAGTGCTGATCATCTGATCCTGATAAAATATTCTGACCTGAAGAACTCCAACATAAAGTGTTTACCTGAAAAAATAAGGGATTTTTCCATCATAAATTTATTCAATTACTGATATTTTTTTTACTTGCCTCCCTTTAAATATCTATGTATACTCTCCTTATAGTTATGATACTTAGATAAATAAATGGGGAATGTGTCCATGGGACACAGATGATGCCCCGCTTGCATATAACGTTATAAAGGGACAAACTCAAGAACTGTAAAAGTAACGCTACCAAAAGTTGTACTTGATCTGAGTTTTGTGGTAATAAGCATTGTGTATACATTGTACGTTTCATAACATTTAGTTGAGGCAAACTTTAGAGAACGGAAACAAAAAATTCAGCAATTTTTCCATTTGTAAAGGGGCATAACTCTAGAACGGTAAAAGTGACGCCACCAAAATTCGAATTTAATCTGTGTTTTGTGGTAATTAGCATTGTGCATAAGTCTCATTACATTTGGCTGAGGCAAACTAAAGTTAAAGAACAGAAACGAATATTTCAGAAATTTTTCCATTTGTAAAGGGCATAACTCTAGAACAGTAAAAGTGACACCACCAAAATTCGAATTTAATCTGTGTTTTGTGGTATTAAGCATTGTGTATAAGTTTCATAACATTTGGTTGAGGCAAACTGAAGTTAGAGAACGGAACCAATTTTGGAACGGACGTACAGACGGACAAGGGTAAAACTTAATGACCCCTCCGCTAAGGCGGGGGCATAAAAACAAAATTTTTACGATGATCAGATTTTTAGACTGGTTTTGAGGTTTATCTGAAATTTATTGTACAACTCTAAAGAACACATGTCCAACATTTGCTCAAAAAAAAAATGGTAGATAACTCTTAATATGATAAAAAAAAAACAAATACTTACACATCCGGTGTGAGCCTCTACTTTACTATCCAACTTCAGTCTTTGTATAAAATCTTTGTTTCCTAATAAAACAAATAACAGTACATTTTTTTAAAGTAGCCTATGAAATGGATATATATCAAATGGTGCTTCAGTAAATCTCTCCAAAACATTGTTGTTGAGGAGATATCTCCCTGTAGAGGTATTGAAAGTTGACACCTACATGTACTACTGATTAGGGTTCTTTAGTATTTACAACACCAACTATAATGTCACAAACAACACCAACTATAATGTCACAGACAACACCAACTATAATGTCACAGACAACACCAACTATGATGTCACAGACAACACCAACTATGATGTCACAGACAACACCAACTATGATGTCACAGACAACACCGACTATAATGTCACAGACAACACCAGCTATAATGTCACAGACAACACCAACTATAATGTCACAGACAACACCAACTATAATGTCACAGACAATACCAACTATAATGTCACAGACAACACCAACTATAATGTCACAGACAACACCAGCTATAATGTCACAGACAACACCAACTATAATGTCACAGACAACACCAGCTATAATGTCACAGACAACACCAACTATAATGTCACAGACAACACCAACTATAACAGACAACACCAACTATAATGTCACAGACAACACCAACTATAATGTCACAGACAAGACCAACTATAATGTCACAGACAACACCAGCTATAATGTCACAGACAACACCAACTATAATGTCACAGACAACACCAACTATAATGTCACAGACAACACCAACTATAATGTCACAGACAACACCAGCCTTTGTCAGTCAAATCTTTTTATAACTGTTTTCCTATGTTGACAAAGAAGCCCTTTCTTGAAAGAAAATTATAGTCCTTTACACTGTATTTCAAGTTTTGTTTAGATATACATGTATATTGAGGTGACTAAAATTTAAAATTAAGAGTTTTCCACTTTTCGTTAGTTTTAGTTGTTAAAAGTGATCTTCGTCCAACAAAGTGGCATAACTCAGACTTAAATAGGTAAAAACAATGTTTTTTACTTCAATTGTTTTTGTAAAATTGAGAGACAACAACCCAACCAAAGAGCAGAAAACAGCCCAAGGCCACCAATGGGTCTTCAACACAGCGGAGGCAGGCTTCAGCTGGCCCCTGAATAAAAATGTGTACTAGTTCAGAGAAAATGTACATCACACTTAACTCTGAAACATATAGATGAACCAAAATTAAAAAAAACATACAAGACTAACAAAGGCCAGAGGTTGCTGACTTGGGGTAGACGCAAAAATGCAGCAGGTTAAACTTGTTTTGTGAGATCTCAACCCTCCCCCTATACCTCTAGCCAATGTAGAAAAAACAAACACATAGCAATACACACAGTAAAACTCAGTTTAAAGGAAGTCCGAGTCCAATTTTAGAATAGGTAACAGAAGAAACTAAGCAAAATGACAATGATAACATAAATTAACAAAGGACTACTAGCAGTTACTGACATGCCAGCTCCAGACTTCAATTAAACTGATTGAAAGATTTTGTCTTCATCATACAAAAATCAAGCACAATCCCTCCTGTTAGGGGTTTAGTATCATACCATCATAAAACAAATGAGAAGAACATAAACCGTATCATGCCAACAACTGCTTTAAGAATAAATATGTTTATTTCTGATGCAAAGACCCTATGAGTGAATCAATATTAATTCAAAAAAAAATGCCATCTTTAATGACCTGACAACAGTATCGTAACTATATCCTTTCTGAATAAGTCTGTTTAAAGGTTTGGTTAGCTTTTGAGGTGAATGACGACATTTTTGTGCTTTATATAGAATATTACCATAAAAGATTGGATGTGAAATACCAGAACTTTTAAGATGTCTACACGTTGATTTATATTTACAAATAATGTCCTTGTACTGATGATAAAATTTAGTAAATGTTTTGACAAGTTTGTAATATCAAAAACCCTGGTGTAATAATTTTTCTGTAATTAGCAATTTCTTTCGTAAACATCAAATACGTTGTTACATACATGAGCAAATTGAACAAGTTGAGATATATAAATACCATAAGATGGTGACAAGGGAAAGTCACCATCTAAAAATGGATAATTAACAAAAGGAAATGAAAAATCATCTCTTTTAATGTAAATTTTGGTATTAAGCTTAAAGATAGAGATATCAAGATCCAGGAATGGGCAGTGTTCATTGTTAGTATTAGCTTTATTTAAAGTCAATTCAGCAGGATAAATCTCTTTAGTGTAGATACTCAGCCTTCACGATAAACTTTTGAGTTCACAAGCCCTAAGCTCAGTTTTTTGAAAATTTTAATTGGATTCTGTTGGCTTGTAGAGAAGAATTATACAAGCCTGAAAGCAATTTTACAAGCCAATGCTGTAGGACTTGTGGTTAAGCGTGAAGACTGGATACTCAGGGTTTAAAATTAACAGGGGCCCACTCGCCAATGGCCCCTAAAATTTGGTGTGGGCTACTTAAATTTCTGCTTTTCTTGTATAGGACTATATATGTGGGCTACAAAATTAAAGCTGTGGGCTACCATGCCAAAATTTTAACTTCAATCCCTGATACTGAAGTCATCATTATTGAGAGCCAATATATCATCCAAATATCTAAAAGTGTTATTAAATTTTTGTGTCAGATGTTGTTTCAATGGGTGTTTGTTGATTTTAGTCATAAATTGTAAGTCGTAACAATACAGAAACAGGTCAACAATAAGTGGTGCCCAGTTAGTCCCCATTGGAATTTTGATAATTTGACGATACGGAATCTCCATAGCGAACAAAAATGTTATCTAGTAAAAATTCAAGTGCAGTTATCGTATCAAAGCAGGTCCAATTGACATAGTTCTTTTGTCTGTTGTTACTAAAAAAAGATCTAAAAGAGTTTGAACATATATATTTGCATTCCGACTTTTCAAATGCTCCTTTGATTAGATGTGTGATTTTTTTCTTAATGAGATTATGAGGCAAAGTGGTATATAGGGTAGAAAAATCAAAACTTTTTTTGAATAATCATAATGTATTTCTGACGCAGATATGAACTATTTATTAACACCACTTTGCTATTCCTTTTTGAACATTTGGAAAGTTTCTTCAAATACCTATTCAATACAACTAGCTCTGAGGTCTTGTGGTTGCTTGTTCCCCATGGGAGGTCTTGGCTTTGATCCCCTGATGAGTCAAACCAAGGACTTGAAAATTAATATTCATTGCTTCTATCCTAAGGAACTGGCATAAAGGAGTAAGAGCTAATACTCGTCTGCTCAGAGTTCGAATAATGTCACATGTTAGGGTGACATGTCTTCCTATGATCTATTACTTTGTGTACTAGCACTTTAAAAATCCAGCACAGCATGTCAATCTACATGTAGTACAGTACATTGTACAAAGCAGGCTTTATATTCAAATCATATTGTAATGTTTATGGGTCTTCGTAAATCCCCTTTTTCTATATTTAGATATTATATATGACTAGGTTTGTCCGTTCAGTTTCGCGGGGATTGTTTTTCTTGTGCTTGAGACTCAATGTCCAGACTTGGATATTTAAACCTCGTCTGGACAATATTTCTTTAGATTGGGGAAAACTTTCGTACAGTTAAGTTTTACTACAAATTTCATTTTATTGGTTTTCAATGTTTGACTTAAATATTTATTTCTTTACATTTGATATATGTTTCGGTTTTAGAGTCAAACAATTCTAAATTCATAATTTACGTTTCCGTTTCAACTAGATAGAAGGAATTGTACACTAGCTTAAGTATTTTATGATTTTGGGTTTATAAAGAGATGGGGTACATTATGGTAGCGATATTGAAGAAGATGGTTAATTTGAGAGGGATATTTTAGAGTAACGGTCTACTCTGGAATTAAATTTTGTATTATCACGTTTTTTTTTAAGGTCTTGAACTGGTCAATGCTACTGAATAATGTGCTTCAGACATTGCTCTAGTTGGACCGAGAACTAAACGGAGATAGATTTAATGCGATTTTTTTTTTTTTTTACTGGACTGACTTTGGTCCCTGGTACATGGAGTTACGAGGTTCATGTACATGTTCTAGTCTAACAAAGTCGGTGGGAACCAGTGGGTATATTCATTTTATCTCGGAAGGTGGGACGTCACCAACTTGATTGATTGAAATTAGTTTTTGTTAAGGACGACTAGTGTACAGCTCTTAATATTTTAGGTAAACAGACACGTACAAATCTCTTGGTGTGAATATACATGTATTCATTCTAATCGATTTTATAGCACTAAGGTCAAACACTTTCCTTGTACTTGGTTAATTCATAATTTCATAGTGGGTATTTTTCAATGCAAAAGCATCACCCCATTTTATCCTATAAGGTGAGGTTTGAAATTGTATTGAAATTTTAGGATTTAGATTTCATATGGTGATACATTCATATTGTGTATTATTGTCTTTGTCTATTAAATATGAAACTGTTTTTATGAAACTTGGTTATTTGTTATATGAGCGAATACATTGATTGGCGCAATCGTCACCTCTTGTCATTTCTAGGTTTCTGACACCTGTCATTAGTTGAATTGATTGGTTCTTGGTCTTGTCAGTATGCTGTCTGAAGACCTGGAGCGAAAGCACAGACCGAACCCTCTCTACCAGTAACGTTAAAGTTTAAGCTAGCTGGGTATAATTTCATGAGACAAAATATGAACGGAACATCCGTTTACATAGAAAAACCCGTTTACGTTGCAATATCATCATGTTGGCATCCTAAATATGAATTTAATTTGCCACTGGACGTTATAAACAGCCACCATCTATCAATCTTATCAAATGCAATGATTCACCAGCTTCTGTGTGGCATTTATTACTATTACTATTATCCTCGTCTCATAGGTTTTCGTGATATTAAGAAAGCATTGTGTCGACACGATTTCCATTGAAAAAGCATGCATAGTACGAATTCAAATGACGTACGAAAACATATGATCTGACCATAGTCCTAGATGCAACTTACACGAATCAGATAAAAAGCATTAAAAGTTAATTTCACCTTTTGCAATGTTGAAAAGCTTAGCCTTTTCAACAAACCCATGTTCACGGGACTGAAGAGGATGAAACATTTTACAATAACATCTCAACAAACGTTTCCTTTGACTGTTCGTTGTGTGTTTGTTTTTTGACAGATGGAAGGGAGATAACAGAGTAAATAATACATCTCAAAACCAAATAAGGTTTTAACAAATACCAACGGTCTAATATCAAAATGTTCAAAAATATATATTTTATAGGCGATATTCTTTATTGAGTTTTCAAACAATCTTCTTACAACCAAAACATATGCATCTTTAAAACAAAGCAACAGATCAAACTCACAGAACATACCTACATTTCATGTATCAAACCAAAGTATGCCACAAAGCAAATGAGAACTTTAGAGAATAGTAAAGTTAAGAAAAATCATGATGCCCCTAAAATTCAAGGAATTCCATTATAATATATTGACAACAATGTGTGAGCAAAACCAAGGATTTGTATAGTAAGAACGTCAAAATTGGGGTATAGCAGTCAATATTGTAATATAATCTTAATTAATCACTATAAAAACAAATAACTGTTTCAACAAAGGAACACAAAATGGCATAGACAAGGTACATACGCATAAATGAAAGACAAGAATTCAAAATTGACTACAGCACAATAAAACAATGGCAGGATGTATAAGTACCGAGCCACGTCATGGGTATAATAAAAAATGGACTTCTACTTAATTCTACTTCTACCAGTTAGTGACCACCGTCATCATGTTGACTATTCTGTCACTTTTGGGTGTGCGCAAATATAATTTTGATTAAAGTAACGAACAAAAAAAGGTGCTATACAAATATTTAACAGTGGGGATTAAAAACAAGGGCTTTTGATTTATTTATTTGTCAGGAGCCTCTTGAACGATTCAAGGCTGCTGACAGATGTAACTGAGGAGGGTAAGGCATTCCAATTCCTGATGGTCCTCGGGTAGAATGACTCTTTTCTTGTTGTCGTGTTACATTGTGGGATCTGAAAAGAGTTTGTGCCCATATTTCTTGAGATCCTGTCCGGTGGAACGAGTTTGTGGCTTGCTGCAACGTTGACCTCCTGATTGTTGATCTTATACAGCATTGATAGTCGTGCGCTTCTCCTTCTATCTTCAAGTGGTGCCCACCGTTTAGTTGTTCCAACATATCAGTAACGGATGATCTGTTACTGTACCGGTTTGTTACATATCTGGCCGATCTCCTTTGTACCATTTCTAACTTGTGTTTATCTTTTTGGAGGTATGGATCCCATAGAGAGCTGGCATACACGACTGTTGGTCTACCGAGGGAGATGTAGGCCTTTTCTTTGATATCGCTGTTAGAGATATTGAGGTTTCTTTTGAGAAATCCGATGGTTTTATTTGCCTTGGCACAGATGTTTCCGATATGTTTTTCCCATTGAAGGTCTGATGTTATAGTTACTCCTAAGTATTTTGCAGATGTTACGTGCTCCAAAGTGTGGCTATGTAAACGATAATCCTTTATAATAGGATGGACTAAACAGTAAAGGTTAAAAATATACAAGGACAAAAAAGGGATACTTTAACACGCAATTAAGATGATAAACAAGGTCATGGTATCTTCCAATAAACTTTTGTAGAAAAAGGACGAGACGTTCTTTGACATAACCTTGGCCCATCAACTTTCTGCACAGACACTGGTGATGTTTTGTAACGTCTGAGTATAGCAGCTGCAAGCTCTTGAATATCGAATGAGTTGGGAAATGTATATCCCATATGCAGGTGAAGTTGGGATATTGCTGCTAAGGTGGGGAAAATTTATAACTTCAAAATTAAAATCGTCTCAATTGTCATAGATTCTCAGCTGGTATTGAGATTACCGCTTATGTCAAATTCGAGGTATAAGTCTAATAATGAGGCGGAGGAAGCTATTTCTGTTGTTTCTTTAATTTCTAGTTCTGGATGATATATTAATGGAACCCAATCAGAAAAGTTTGGATTGTTAATGGAAAGAACATCATCAATATATCTGAATGTGAAATTAAATGACCGGGCTTCTTTGATTTTCTTGTTTTTGACAAGTGTCTGAAGGAACTCCGACTCGTATGAAAATAAGAAGAGGTCGACAAGGAGAGGGGCACAGTTCGTTCCCATAGGAATACCGACAACTTGCTGAAAAAGTCTACCTCAATATTCAACAAATATGTTGTCAATGAGAAACTCCAGCATACTGTTCACTTGTTCCTCTGTGTAGCATGTTTTACCTTTTTGTTCACTATTAACAAAATATGCCGTATGGTATCCCAAAGCAATAAATTTATAGCGTATGCTGCCATTTTCATATTGAAAAGCATTGTGGATTATTTTATTTAGACAATTTTTCCATTTCACATGGGGAATGGTGGTATACAGGGTTGAAAAAATTAAAATTTTGATAGAATTAATTTCAGAGAAAGATCGAGATTTAAAATTATCAAGAAGTTCTTTAGAGTTTTTTAGAATCCACATATGGTTAATACCACTACGCGAGTAAACAGTTTCACAGTATTTCTAAAGACCCTCTTTCACTACGGACAGAATTTTTGTCAATCTAATGGACAATTCCTTTGTCGAACATAAAGCATTAACTACCAGCAATTGCATAAACTACCATTCCAAGTGAAAACTGATTAAACTTTGTTTTCATCTCTAAACTATAACAGATAATTAATCCTTAGCAGCTGTACATGCAGTGGAAAAGTGATTTCATAGCGTGTTGTTCATACCTGGGGCTGCTCAGTTGTATTTTCATTTCGAATAGAATACTGCCATTTTTAAGCTGTAATCAAATCTATGCACATGTAAGTAAAAAATCTTCATATCAGCGGTTAATTTATCTTAATACACCCTTCTTCTTCTTCCAATACAGTTCAGTCCTCTAATTGAGTAGTATCGCACTATTGCCCATGCTGGGTTTGACAACTGAGATACAAGAAAATATTTACAGGTGCACAGTCTAATGGTGCGAATAAGGGATGCTACAGTTCAGTACCCCCTGCTTGAACGCATCTAGTGAGATACTGTCCACCAAAGGTTGTGGAAGGCTGTTCCATAGCCGTATGCTGTCTGGGAGGAAGGAATGACTGAATGTTGAAATTCTGGCTTATGGTACAAGAAATGTTGTGTGTGTTCTCTAGCTACTGATGATGCATTATGCAGTTCGAGCGTTGGTATTGCTACTATTCTGTACATCATCATATCATTTATATTTGACCCTTCTCTCGGCTAGTGGTTGCCACTGTAGCATTGACGTTACACTGCTAGTTTGTTGGTATTCGTTCATTACAAAACGGACTGATCTTCTTTGCACACTTTCTAGTTTCTGTATGTTGAGGTTTCTAAACGGGTCCCAAACTGACTGAGCATGCATACTCAAACCATGGTCTAATTGGCGTTGTGTAGCATACAGCTTTTGTTTGATGTGGATAGTGGTGCAGGTTTCTTTGGAGAATTTGCCTGTCTAGTCATATGCTTTATATGCTTTCTATGTGTGTGTTCAAATTAATGGTTTTATGGATTGTTACACCTAGGTATTTTGCTGAATCAGCCAATTATAAATTTGGCCAATGTTAAAATTTGTGGTATGTGGTTTGCGCTTGTTGGTCACGCGTAGAAAATGGCGACCTTCCCTTGATATTATTTCTAACTGTTTTCAATACAGAAAAGTACAGTGTCTTATTGTGCAGAAATGTAGATTCTACAAAATAAAAAATAAATTGTTAAGTTCTTTTCAGATATTTACCAATACATTTAAAGACATTTAGTTAAGTTATGTAAATCCCAGTAGCTTCACTTTCTTTTTACAGTCTATATTCTATTTCGTTTAAGGTAAACACATATTTCTGATTATACTGACTTATTTCTTATAAAAACGGCAATGATTGTCATTTTCTAGATTTTGATATATAAGTTACTCGTGGGAATATCAAAACAAAAATTTCCGACGATTTTTCGTTCCCTCTTAATAATTTTCCTTTTTTTTTGGACGGTAATGTTTCTTTGGCCCAGTCTAAATCAAAACAAAAATTTCCGACGATTTTTCGTTCCCTCTTAATAATTTTCCTTTTTTTTTGGACGGTAATGTTTCTTTGGCCCAGTCTTACGGTGTGTGTATTTCCCAACTTGTTCGCTATCCTCACGTTATCTATGTCGTTTTTCGTTATCAAAATTACTAGAAACTTTTACTAAATTCTTTCGCAAATAAAAAGATTTGATTTTGAAGTCTGACTATATACCTGTAGATATCTTATCAATAACAGGATATTACATTATATTTTTTCCGGTAATGTTGTTTATAAAGCATGCAAACTTAGATACGATCCATGTAAACTGGTTCATTGATCATTTGAATAAACTTATATCAATTAAACACCCTATGAATAAACTTATTTTGAATGGATATCAATTTAACACCGTAGTAACATCTTTGATTATTGCTGCTATCGATACTACTATTTATTTTGATTTTCTTTTATAAAATCAAACATAACTAAATATGGATTGCTATAAATTTATGAAAAGTTATGGTCCTCCCATACCGTCGATATTACGTACTTATATTTTGGCAATGCACAAAATCATGCTTTTCTCGGACTGTTTATGACGTGTTTACACCAAATCCATTGGATGTGTACGTATTGATACTTTAGTCTGGGAGAACATGATATTAAGTTTATTGTTTGTTGTTAGCTTTAAACTATCTTTCAGTAACTGCTAGTGCTCTTAGATCGGCACTTTGTGCCTATTGCCCTTATATTATTTTTTTTTTGTTTTGTGCTTCTTGCCTATCTGATGAGTCAAGTCATTTCCAACTGATTTTCAACAGTTTGTTCTTAAATTGCGCTGTAACACCACTGTCTCATGTTAGGGGGGGGCTGACCCCTTATAAGCATATACAACCCCGCCACATTCTATATACACCTGTCCCAAGTTAGGAGCCTGCAATGCAGTGGTTGTCGTGGTTGCTGTCTGTCATGTTTGTTTTGTGTTTATTGTTTTGTCATAAATCAGTCCGTTGGTTTCTTCATTTGAATTGTTTCACATTTTGTAATGTTGGGGCCTTTTATAGCTACTGTACTGAATTGGTTTTGCCCTTTGTTGAAGGCCGTGATGTGACT